CCGTGTTCCCACGAATTTCGGCAGTCCGGTAGCTTGCGCACCAAGCAGTTAGAACCTCTCAAAAACAATGCGCATCCGGGCGGTGTTGACTCAAAAGTAATAGATCTGTCAGCCTGCCTCCAGCACTATTCTCTGCATTCATTCCAGATTTGAGCAAGAGATATCCCCGTCGCCAGGAGTTCGCCTGGCAGGTCGGGGGCAGGCACTGCAGAAAAAGGGCGTGGTATGTGCAAGCACCCTGAAAGTACTCAGCGCCCGCCCGCCATGTGGAGGAAGCCTTTAGCTTCCATTAAAAGACGCCCGATGGCGGTTTTTTGACGCTTTCAGTTGGCGTCTGGACGCGCCAGCCCAGACTTCCCTCCCCCCGTCAGAGGGGGGGGGGGGGGGGGGCACTGAACACCAATCGTCCCAAGTCCAGGCCAGGCGTCCAAGGGCTCCCGCGTGCAATCGCCCATCGCGATCCGTGACGTTACGCTGCCGGCCGGGCTGCCAGCGCTGATTCCGGTATCTGGCCATCCCCCTTCCCCGTCGTCCCGCGACGATCTAAGTGAACTCCTCATCGTCCCGCATTCTTTCCATGACCAACTTGGCTCGCAGGTCATGGACAGAGGAAAAATTGGCCAACACTGACAAACCTCTCGATCGCTACAGTGTGCTCCCAACTGCGACGGCTTCCTCAAAAACACCAACAGCCGACGAAGAAAACAAATCAAAGAGATAGGCCAAACGTGGATCTCTTGGACTGAGGCTTGCCGACCACCAGCCGCCGCCACTCGCATTCTTGAGCTGTACCTTGCCTTGACAAGCACGAGGCAGTCCGACAGATCAGCCCAAAAAAAAAACCCATTCGAACCGAACCCCACCCTCAATCATCCTCCAGGCCAGCCAGCACTAACAAAGTGGAGAGCTGGACTGGTGTCTCACGCAAGGCCGACTCCCATCCACTTCTCTCGTGTCCAGCCGTTTGTGTGTCTCTGCCGCGGTGGACACCAACTTTGGCGTCAAACAAAGCCAGGGCTGGAATGTAGAGAAAGAAGAGGACCCGTTATTCACACGCACTCGAAACACCCATCATCCACTCGTCCAACTCTCAAAGACTTGACGGGCTGCAGAGTCGCTGCAGAGCGAGCTGCCGCAGCAAGAGGACGGCAAGCGTCCTCTGGCCGGGCGCCTCTGGTACCCTGTCGCAGTCGCAGCACTTTCCCCCTCCCCTCAGTGCAACAGCAAAGCCAACGAGCCAACGAGCCAACGACGAGGCGTTTCGGCCAAGGTCCACGTCTGGAAAAGCACGGAACATAGCATAACATACCGGTACATTCCCCCCCACGGATAAAAGTCATTTGGGGTCCCTGCCCAACTGGATGGATGACTGGCGGGCGATCGCTGCACGGCGTTCGCTGCGCTGCACTGCGCTGCACTGCACTACACTTGCAAGCCTTCTGCACAACCTGAAGCACGGCGGATGGGCTCACACGAATGAACAGATGACCCGTCTCCTCCTCCTCTCGTCATGTGTGTCTCCGTACCTACTTGCATAGAGGCCGTACCTAAGGTACTTGCACAGAGGGAGAGAAGCTGACAGCGAGTTGCGGAGACGGTCCTCGCTAAGAATTGATGAGAGCTGGGGGTTCACGATCTGGTGGCTCTGGATCCTCGCACTACTCGTTTCGGATCGCCCACTCCACTCCATCAAACAAGCCCTGAAGGTCAGGGCTGGCCAGACCGCCTCTTCGAAGGCCTGACGACGACGAACTACCCAGCAAGCCCAGGTACAACAAGCACACACAAACGCGGACAGGGAATACCACAGAATCAGGCGCCTGACTGCAATCCACCTCGAACCCCACCATACCTAAGGTGCCTGGCACGGACAGACAGAGGACGGACCCTGCACTGAACCTCATCCTGGACCTGGACCTGGACCTGGACCTGGACCTGGCAAGAAAAAAACTGCACCTGGCAGGAAAAACCCTGAGGTCGTGGCATCCACTGGCAAAGCCTGTCACCGTCTTCTCCTCCTCCACCCCTCCCGGCCCCCGGTCCCCTGCCACCCCCCCCCCCTGGTAGCGTCTTTCGGATTTCCCAGCTGGCCCCACTGCTCGTCCGGCCTTTCCTCTCACAGAACCGGAAATCCCCAAGCGCTAGGAAAATATCCAAGGTCCCAGTCCCAGTCAACCAGTGTCCCAAGTTCCAAGGCCTCAAGGCCCCCAGGACCGCAAGGCTCAAAGGCCCCTCCCCCCCCCCGACTGCGTGTTCAGTGGGTTCCCGCCAGTTGTCCCACCTTTGGTCTTTGCCTCGCCTTCCTCCCAACTCTGTCTGGTGTCCCCCCGTCCTCCGTCCTCCTTCCTCTTTCCCCCCCACTCTTCCCTTCCCGCTGCGCTAGATTCGCTCGATGGGTGCGCGCAAGCCTGACCAGGCCTGACCTTCCCGTCTCCTCCCTCCTCCCTCCTCCCAGTCACCCCTACACCGACCGCCTTCCCGGCCGACACATCCTGTCTCGCCCATTCCTCTCCTACATCTCCTTCTTACCGCAGACGTTCTTTTTTCCCGCCGTCGCTTGCGGCCTCCATCGCCGGTCGTTCAAAAGAAACAAATTTACGAGGGGCAAATTCAAACGTCCACTTCCATCTCCTAGGCTACGGCGCAAAACATTCGACCGCCCAAAGTCAACAATCCAAAACACAACAACACGGACGCCACGCTTCAGCCAGCATTTTCCTTTTTTTACCCACCCCTCTCAACGAACCACGCCAGTCAAAACCTCCGACCATCAAACGACCTTACGACGACGAATCCAGTAGTATTATGAGATCCTCGAGTCCCTCTTGAAGACGCTGTCGCCCCATAATCCAAACGGCACGCGCGACTTATCAGAGCCAGACCCACCGCCCGCTCTTTGCGACGACTTGTCGCATCGATCAACCTTTTGCGCGCAACCCTCCAAAGGCTTGCGCAAAGCACGAACCACGCAAAACCAGTCATTCGGCATTCATCTGAGACCTGCAGGGCGCAACATTCCGACAAAAGGTCCCCCCCGCGCCGCCGAGCGCAACACCCCCCTCCCCCCTCAGTCATCATGGCCTCTTCACATTCCGGAGCTGCCACGCTCCCCAAGGGGTTCCGCTACCACGACACCGACTCTGCCGAGCCCAAGACACCAGAACCCCCCCCCGCCACCGCCGACGCCGACCACGACCAGAGCCTCGACAGCAGCATGCTGCAGCCACCGTCGCCACCTCGTCCCAGATTCAAGCTCAAGAGGCGTGTCGTCTCCAGCTTCAACGCCCCGACCCAACAGTTTCTGGCATCGGTCGCCGCTGCCGACGTGCCTATTCCCAGCATCGAAGAGAGCGCTACCATGGCGTCCGACGAGAACATGACGGGCATGACGTATTCGGATCTCGCCAACACGAGGTATCTTGACGATCTCGACATGGGCAACAGCATTCGAGGGAGGACAGTTTCGCCCCCCAAGACCCCGGCACCCGGCTACGCCCCGTCCCTCTCCCCGAGGCGATACCCCAACTGGTCGAGGGACTCGGCCGTCACCAGCGAAGATGACGACGACGGCGACGATTCCTCAGCCGAGTGGGAGTCGAGTCGTCCCTCCACTGCGCGGTCTACACACACCAGTGCCTCGCTTTTCAGCCGCTACTCCATCACCTCTGACGAGCTCCAGTGTGCCTCGGTCGTAGATCCAAGCGACCTCGGCTTCCGATATCACTTTGAGGAGCCCAGCAAGTCGGCCAACGCCTACTCGCAAACGACATCCAAAGCCTCCAAGATGAGGAAGGCGGCCTGGACCAGGCCAATGAGCGATCATCTGTGGTCGACCTATCTCACCTATCTCCAGGACCCGAGCATCACCCCCGTCCGCAACAGCAAGTCTGGCGTCCCTCCACAAGGTGTCTGCGCTCGTGTGGCCCGGGAGACGAAGAGGAGTTGGCGTGGGCCGAGGCCGAAGAGCGGCGCCGGCACCCACACGCCAACCCCCGATTCTAGTACCTATCTGCAGTGGCCGCACACCTACGCCGCCACGCGCGCTCACCTACGGGAGCTCTGCAAGCTCAAGGCCTCGTCACACGGCATGCGCGCCAGTCAGTACATCAAGCACAGCCCAACACCATTCGGCCGCACCGCCACCAGATTCTGGAATCGTCGCTCGACACCGACACCCTCTGCCTTCTCTTCGAGGGACATGGTCATGTCCCTGACGCTAAGCACGGCTGCGTCGATGCAGCCCCGGGGCCCGCTGGCCCAACTGACACAGTCGACGCCGGAACCCGTTGCGGCGCCAGCCGCGTCCACGCCCGAGCCGAAATCAGAAGTGCCAGATATACCCACCATCGGACGCCGCCGGCTGGCATCTCCATTTACCACGAAAAGCTACGGGCCGAGCTCGTCGAACGTCATGGGTGCCTCTGCCGACCAGGGCCCAGCCAGGCAAAGCAGCACGTGCGGGCCCCGCCGCGGTCTACAGTCGCCCGTCAAGCTGGCCCGTAGCCGATCCAACACGCAGAAGCGCAGGTCCCGCCAGTCGTCAGTCGAGCCCCGCAAAACGAAGCGACCCAGCCTTGCCTCCGACTTTTGGACACAACCGACGGAGCCGCTCGTCGACAAGGTTGCCTACAGCTCGACCGACAGCCACAAGCTCGATAAGCTGTTTGTACCGCGGACCAACTTGGCTGAGCTGTTTCCCCTATCGCTCGGAGTGAACCAGTCGCTGCCGCCGCCCCAACCCCAGTTCCAAAGGGGACTCACTGCTGCCGCGAATGCGCCAGCTCGCCTCGGCTCACCATTCACAACATCATCCTCGAGCCTTTCTTTTCCTAACCGGTACACCAAGCCGGACGAGCGGAATGCCGCGGCTGTTTCCAAGCCTTACGCAACGGTACAACAGCCACGAGAAGTCCCCAACGCGACGCCACCACGTGGCTTGGTCGGCCACCTGGCATATCTTGATGAGCGCCTCAGGGAGCTTCGACGACACGACAGCCGCCGTCGATCCGAGTCGCCATTCTGAAGGCGTTTTTGCATATGACATTCTCAAACACATGCGCATCGTGCCCTGTCATATCTTGTCATGATCTCATGCGATGCTTTATGACTTTTTCTCGTGTCCATTCTTCACTTCTCCTGGCTCCGCGCCTATTTCTTCCGTTTTAGTCTTGATCTTTTCGATTCTGCATCACATTTTTCTGGCTTCACATAATTCGGGGCCGAGACAAACGCACACAGACCCTGTCGGTGTTACGACATGTGTCTTTTGTCTTGTATTCACCCCTGGCTTTCTGCTTGTCGATGGCTGCTTCCTTTTTTTTTCTCTCTTTTTGGCAGGGCCCGTGGAGGATACTGCGCCTCTCTTGATGAGACGGGAACGAATGAATGATATGACGACACGAATACCAGGGCATGATGGGCGCCGATCCTGACGGCGATGAGTCTCTTGTTTCCGTTTCAGCGCGGACACGGGAGCTTGACGACCCGGGGCGGGGGATACGAGGCGATGAAGGGAACCATGGCACGAGCCCTGTGCCACCTCCACGAGCGAGCGACGAATAGATGAACCCAATCGAGATGGTCTCCCGCACGCTGACCGACCCTGACCGCCGTCCCGCCGTGACCGTGTTTGTTTGATCTAAATGTGACTTTTTTCACGAGCTGAACGGCAGGGTGACGAAATCCGCACAGTCCCCGTTTTCGGCTCTCGCCCGTCTTTTTTCAGGCGAGGCAAGAGAAGCAAGGCTAGCAGCGCCGGAGTCGCTTCATCTGATCTCAGGCGGAGGAGCGTCCTGGGCTTCTTTTTGTTCATTCTCGGAAGATCACCCCGGCTCTGAAACAGCATGTTTCTCAACCCATGCGCTTCCCGATTCCTTCTCAACAGTACTGGCCCACGGGACAATGCAAACAGATCCGGGGCATTTCTTTGTTTCCTCGAGCCTGTTTCTTTTCGTTTGCGGTACTCCTCCACGGGCGGCGATCTAGCAGGGGACGTGCGGCGTCCCTCGGGACGGGTGTTTCATGGCCGGGGCACGACCGCTCCACGGCCTTGTTCCTGGGTGGAACGGCCTAGTCTTGTCGCGGACCCCTTCTTGCTGGCCTTTTTTCTATCATTCCTAATTTGGAATGAGGCGGCACTTGATTTAGCTTGGAGGGTTGTTCGTGGTCTTAGGGTTTGCATTGGGTGGAGGGGTGTATGGACGGCCTGGCGTGGATATGCATTCACGGATACAGGAGGATGCGTCGTCAGTTGTGGTGTTCGACAGGACTTTTGGCTTGCTTCTCGGGTATTCAGAAGGGCTGCTCTGGAATCAGGATGACGGCCCTCACGCACGTGAACTTCATAGACAATGACGACGCCATCGGCCTCGGCCTCGGAGGTCTCAAAGGAGAAGTCCGGCATGCAGGTACGCGGATCGAGCGTACAGCGCCGGACATTTCCCTAAAGACCGGCGCATCTGTGATCGACGTGTCTGTGCCGGACTCCAGTTACGCCCAATTTCAAGTACCGACAGAGGAAGCAGCAGCTCACACGTTCGCTCGGAGTTCATCAAGTTGTCAAGGCCAGCTTCATTTCATTCTTGCTACTAAGTAAATATCTGTTTGTTTGCATGTTTGTGGGTTTTCCGAAAGGAGGGAATAAAAAATTACAGCAAAGATAAAGTTGACCATTCGAGCCTCCGTCTCGCAAGCCGTTCGGTTCCCTCGTGAGGATGTGCTGCCCGATCCGGTCGGCGGCGAGGAGCATCTCGACACGGCGCAGCCATGATCGCCGATGCTCTCTCGGCAAGAGCCGTCATCCCTCACCGTGCGCCCAACGCGGTGCGCCTCGAGCTTGGACGTCTCGTTGCGACTAAGCCCACAACACGCTCTCCATGCCAGAGGGCCGGAGTTGAACGAGATACCCCGTGCACCGCTTGACTTAGCCGCGATCGAGCGACGCGCAGGTGCCCAGTGCGCTACGATCCCATTCTCGGCGGACAGTGACCCCTTTCAGTCCGGTAACCACGGATCTGGTGTTTGAAGGACTAAGTGCGCTAAGCCGATAAGCGACTAACCCAGGCCTTAAAGGGGCTACGGCTTGGTCACTCGTTCGGAAAACGAGACGACGGGACTGTAGACTTATCGACAGCGAGCAGATGCTGAAAGCGGCCTGGGCGTTGTGCTGTGTCTGTGTGCTGTGCACTTGAGACTCTCGCTAGATGTCGAGTCGACCCCAACAGGCTTTTGTGGAGGGGTGGCGTCGGGCGGTGATGGTGGTCAAGCCTGGTCCCAAGGGCTGCAGGGACGGGCTCGGTCTGTAGAAGTGAAGAATATTCGTGCCCCATGTCGAGAATCAATCCGACTAGGGGGAATTCGGTGGTGGTTTATCCAGCCACGGCTGCGTTGGCCAGGGGTCTGGCTGCCTGGAGCGGCATCGGCACCTCGGCAGGGTATTCATAATGGCGTAGAGGGGCTGCAGGACACGAGGGTGACTTGACGTGCTTGACGAATCTCGAAGACTTGTACGGGACAATGTCAATGATGAGCGGCACCAGCATGGGATAGTTATCGAGCTCCATGCTGGTGGCTGCATGCGGGCATCTGCGTTCACCGACAGCGGCACGGTGCGTGTGAAACGAGCATTGACGGAATCCAAACTGGCGCTCGTCGTTACGGAGTTTGTTGGCAGGGATCCGCAGTTGGGGGTTCTTGATTCGGGCGTCCAGTTTCCCCTTGTTTAACTTGGCGACGTGCAAGACGTACTCGGCGTTGAAGTCGGAGAATTGTTTGAGCAGAGGCTCGAAGAGGCAGTTGGCGTCCTGGTCCCGCGGGTGGCATGGACCGCCGGCGATGGACCACGCAACCATGGCTGTAGCCCAGCGTCGGAGTCTCATGGTGGTCCTCGCCCCGCGCTCGCCGAAGAGGAAGGTGACAAACTCGGGAGTGACATCCCAGTCACAACGAAGGTACAGGTCCTGCAGGGCATCGATGGCCATATCCTGGAGCTGGTCAAGGTCGTGTTTCGCGGCGAAGATGTGGAGGTTGACGAGGGCCCAATGGAAGCACTCGCTAGTCTCTTCAGGGGCATCGCTGACCATCGCAATCATGTCGTCGAGGTGGCGACGGAAGGCGTCGCGCTGATGGAGCCAAACCGTAAAGAGCTCGAACATGGCAGGGGATTCATCGAGCAGTTGAATGGGAGTCGACGACGTCTGTTGAGGAAGCCATACCGGAACGGACTTCTGCACCAGTGACAGCTGGAGTATGCCGGCGGGGGTGGCATCGAGCTGGTCTCTGAAGAACTGGGACGTGGCGCTGAGGAGCTTCTTGTTGACCCGAAACTCCCTCTGTTCAATGCCGACAAGCACGCGTGCTACGCCTTGCTTTGATGATCTACAAGGTAAAACATGAGCTCGAGGCGAGAGTGTAGAGGGATGTTGGGGGGGGGTCCGGTACTGACAGGTTCACCAATGTTGATACGGACGCATTATGGAAGATTGCCTTGGGTCTCGCCATGAGGTCTTGCTGTAACAGAGTGAGAGTCTTGAGAGAAGGTCGGTGATGCGAACCAGCACAGTAGCAAACAAACGATAAAACAAAGAGAGCAGCGGAACGTTGGTTGGTGAACTGCAAACAAATGGACCGGCCGTAAACACATATACTTGACTCTCCCAGAGAGCACGGAGGAAACGCACGCACGGGGGAAAAGGGTCGAGCGAAGAGGCGAGGTGAGGATGAATTAAAAGTGTCTGGCCCCAAGTCTGGTTGACGGTCTTGGCTTACCAAGTCTGGGGGCTTACCTGGCGTAGCATCGCGGACGGCAGGAACGGTTTGCGACCATCAATCCCTGTCGTCGAGCGACCTTAGCCGGCACAGGGCAAAAGGTTATCGAAGGGTCGTCATCGATAACCTGCGCGCGGTGTACATGTACTGGCTGGTTTCAAAACGGTTCCCCGTACGGAGCCAGCTCCCAGTCGAAGGAGTTCTCAGGTAAAGAGAGGGGCCATGGCAGACGAAGGCTACGATGACATCGGCCGCCGCAGTCCACGGCGGGGAGGGGGTGGGCCAGGCGTGAGAGTCGGGCTTGGAGTTGGGGTTGAGCAGGGATGTTGCCGTTTCAAAAGGGGGCGTCCCAAACAAGCTGCCCATCTGTGCAGGGCAGGACGGGCGATGAGCATGGTAGACAGGCGTGCTTCAGGTGTCAGCGTCGACGGCAGCAATGGGTCGAAGGCGCAGTTCGTGACAGGCTTAATTGGCGTGTTATCGGCCGGGAAGCTGTTGCATGCTTGTCGCTCCATCGCTGGCTGTCGCACCAAAAAGAAGACTCCATCGTTACGCGGCCGCGCTGGCACCGCACCTGCGCGCCAGATCGTCGGGAAAGCGACGGATTAGGGAAAGTCTAGGGGCGTGCGTCAGTTCTAGTGCCGCACAAGAGAGAGAGAGAGAGGGCTGCTGACTACAATGCTGGTAGAATATACGATGTGGGTGGTTGCTGAGCCTGGTTTGCTCTGCATACGGTACCTACTAGGTAGGTAGCTGTCTGTGCCTTTGCCCGACTGCCTGGCCTCGCGTGTGTGTCGCCGGCACGCGAAGAAGCCGACGATGCTGGTCAAATCGAGTCAAGCTGTCGAGTCGTGAGGCGTCGACGAGCTGAAGGGTGCCACTCGCTTGGGGGGGAGAACCCTGGGGAGCCTAGGTAGGGCATGGGGGTCCGCTTGGAGTTAGTTTCCCATGCTTGGGACTTGGGACTTGGGACTTGGGACTTGGGACTTGGGACTTGGGACTTGGGACTTGGGGACGCCGTTATCGTGTCTCGTGTCGGGGGCAGCGTGCGTGGGCGCACCGTTGTGGCACGACTTTGATGATGGAATGCAGTGTCGTGATGGTGCATTGACGGAGGCAATCAGATTCTTCTGCTCTGGCCCTCTGTATGTTCGGTTGAGTCGGTCCGCCGCGGGGCTGCTGTAACCTCAGTGGCAGGTGCGAGCGGGCTGGGTGAAGATCAAAGGTCCGAGGGCGTGGAAGCGGGGAGTGATCAATGGCATTGATCATGATTGAGAACATAAGCGAGGTCGAGTAGTCTCTTGGTGAGAGCTGAAATGGTCGTCAAATGGTCGTAACAAGGGTCTGGATGGGTCTTCTGTGGGCGTTGAGAGGGAACCGTTGATGCAGGCGTCGACGATGCAACCCAAGATGAGATGGGAGGGCCACGAGGGCTGTCTGGGCTGTAACAGTGCCAAGGGTTAGGGACGTTGCGAGCCTGTGCCGATCAGGCCCGCCACGCTTGACGTGCGCCACGGGAACATATCAGCCTCATCAGTGTACCTGCCAGGCACGAATCGACCCTACGGTTCCTGTCATTGTTGCCTTTCCCACACCAACTACCTACTAAGGTACTGAACGCTGCTCGCCTTTCTGTACCACCGGTTGAGAACAATCGGATGAAGCCGGTCTAAATCCTCGTCAATCATGCTTCATAAGACTCGTCACACCATTCTTTGCTGGTGGCCCTCTGATCATCGCGCACATCACCTTGCGAGACCATGTTTGGCATAATCATGGAGGATCATTCATTTCATCACCGAGGAATGGCCAAGACATTCGGTGCCCCGACACGACTCGCGATTGTCACAAAAAACTTCTCACTTAATAAGCTCGGTGAGGCAAGATCTACCGGCCATTCCGTTTACATCCGTCCTTGGACATGTCGGTCCAACGCAAGCATTGCGGGCTGCTGCGAAGCCACAAGCAGCATTTCTCTCGTCTCACTGCCCTGCTGCCAATATTCCATGATCTTCCAATGATCGCCGCGTGGTAATTGAGAAGTCCTGCAAACACCAACAGCCAACTTGAATCACGCCGTGTATCCTATGTTGCCCGAAATTTGCGAAATCATACATTGCTCATGCGTCGACAGCCCCTCGGCCTCAGGTATGACAGAGGAATACTCAAGGGTATGGCGCAACGATCCCTTCCCTTTCCACCTTGGCCAGGCTGTCAAGAAGGAGGTCTTGGATCCGGCATATTGACAAGCTCCGTGTCTGTCCGGGGCCCGCCTCGACAGGGTTCTTGAGCTTCGTGGCCCTACATGTACACAATCCGAACATGGGAGAGCAGGTGTCCCTCTGTGATCCCGGCAACGCGGCACTCCATGCTCGCTACCAGCGCTTGTCCAACCCAGACGGACGTCGTGAGTGGTCTCAAGCTGTCATTGGTAGTCGGCCTGACGATGACGGTTCATCCCAACAAGGACCCTGCAGGCAGTCCAGCAAAAGCATGCAGGAGACCAAGTCGACCTCGGCCCCGCCCTGTACATGACCCTTGCTGCTAACAGAAACATCGCCGTCTGAGCAGTCCAATACCCGTGTTGCGCCGAGCGTTGTAGGTTGAATACGGAAGTCTGATGAGTCGGCTGCTCAATGCTGGCTATTGGAGGCGCGCTCGTTGTCCGATGCTGGCTGGTACAGCCTCTTCATTTTCTTAATCTCTGCCATGTGACAGAACTCAATGATCGGTACCGAGCACTCGCAATATGTTGACTTTGACTCACTAGTGTCGTTCAGTTGTCGGGGGACTTGTTCAGATCAACTTCGCCTAGCTCAACAACGGTAGAGCCCCTGTCCTCGGGAAGCAAGCAGACCGTATGCTCTCGATCAGCAGGCGTGGGCGGAAAAGGTAGGTCATCGGGAGAATATGCAGGCTACCTTGGTAAAATTGCTGCAAGGACCTACAATGACAGGAGTGTTGGAAGCGCAGAGGCAACGGTGAGATTGCGTGAAGTTGGCTCACAAGGGACACCGCAGGGACGAAGGCCAAGCGTCTGGATAGCTCTGAGAAGGGCCGAGAAGGTTCCAGTTTCTGCACCATATTAAGAGTAACCTGAACCGGACCTTCGCAGGAATCTCCATCGCTCTTTTTTCTACCTCGCCATTTTTGTGTCGCACTCGTTGATCGCTGAAGTCTTCAGTCTGCCGAGAGTAAAATATCTACTAGTGCGAGTATATCCACAGCAGCTGCCACATACATAGTCTTCCTCGCCTTGGACATCAAACCGGCTCTATGGGCCACCACTTGACCATGTTCTTTTTCTGGCCAGGAAGGATACCTAAGCTAAGCTTATATGATCATATACGTACCACAGAGCTCTTCGAACGATCAGTGCAGGACGACATTGTGCTGCAGCCAGACGGCGAGGAAATACATCAGCGTGAGCTCGCCGTGCAGTGATGCCTGGGTACAAGATCTGGAACAAGTCATTCAAACAAATTCGATTGGTATCCTTTTGATTGCTACGTTGACATGTCACTGAGGTTCCCTTCTGCGAAGCTCTAATAATTGTGAGCTGAACTCTTCTACATGGTGTTACCTGTTATCGCCTGATAGATTTAATTCCAGCCCTCTCGCTGGTCCAATTGCCCATCAAATCAGAACAGGCATCACTTGCGATGTAGGGCCAGATTAGCAATGGATCCTTGTTTGTTCTAATGGGACAACATAATCAATCGCAACAGCCAACGCCCGTGTCGTTCTTTCTTCGACCTGTGAAGTCGTCAGGATGTCCAGACTAGCCTATGCTCGTCCACGATATAAAGCCTTTGTTTGACAGCTGCTGCCAGTGGTCTCCGACCGGTAGGCTGGAGACGCAACTTCAAGTCCTGTTAGCCGGGTGCTAAGACGTTTGTGGCGGGGGAGATTCGGGCCGTGGTCTAAGACTTCGAGCCGATACTAATTGGGAGACTGTTCAGCAGTAGATATGTGAGGCTGGCCTAGGCCTGAAACCCCGAGTTGGATCCCGCAAGAATGTATCATATGTCAAGATTCAAGATGCCAGATAACAATATGTCAGGCCCCGCCTCACAATTGAAACGCGTAGCAGCTTTTAAGGCCTCACATTTACATTAGAGATCCTCAGAGGGCAATGTCTCTTCATGACAGACTCGTTTTTTCCAGGGCTTCGAATAGCAAGAGGGTTGGCTCGCCGCTCGAAGTCGCTCGATGGTAGTGGCGGACTCTCAGCTCCAATCTTCAGGTAGATAGTAGCTGTTGAGTTTGGTCCAACGAGAGCTGCGGAAGATGCATGTGGTGGCAAGTACATGGCCCACCTTTTTTGAGCAGTCGTGGGCGTACCTTATATAGACGTGTTTTTATACGACCCGAAGTGGCTTGAGTGCGAAAAGGAGGTCTCTACGAAGTGATCTGTCAATTGACTCGTGACAACGAGTTTGAGAGCTGACTCGGACACGCAAATCGCTGCTCCCCGAATGTGACTGAGGGATTCAAGCAACGATAAAGGTTTTCTGTCTCGTTGACTGATGGGTGCTTGTCATGGCCGGGTTCCCGACTCCCCGTTCGTGCGATGTCGTCCCGGGGAGCCACAATTTGAGCCACAACTGGACCCTCAGCCCCACTGCCCCAGTCGTGCTATCAAGCAGCAAACCCCATTGAGCCCCCATTGAACCCCCCGAGAGTCCCAGCAGAGCAAGCACGCCATCCGCAGACTGGGCGCTGGGGTCGGTCGGTGATCTGAGCTCCCAGGGACCAGACCGCCGCCCCCCGTGGAAAAGCCCGCATTCACCGCCTGCCAGGCTGGACCCCTCCACAGTGAAAGGAGTGAAAGGAGGAGAAAGACAACAGCAAGGCCAGGTAATAGAGGGAGAGGCAGAGAGGGATAGAGAGACCTGAGCCAGTGAAGTGAAGGGGTCGTCGATAACCCCGCCAACGGTATGGCCCCCAGCGAGCCAACCATTGCCATGACCCCGCCGCAAAAGTCTGCTCCGCCGATCTCGCTACATCAGTGTAATTGGCGAGTACCCCTCTTCACTCTGCCCGCCATTTCCCTCGCTGCCCCTCCATAAAAGTTCCCGGCTCGTTCCATCACCGCGACTTTCTCTCCCTTTCCCTCTTCCTTTCCTTCCTCACTTTCCTCTCTCTCCCTCCTTCTCCCACCTCCCCAACACACAAGTCTTCTCCCTCTGAAGAAAGAGAAGAAGTTGACGCATATCCTAATCTCTTCTCCCCAGAGATCACACACATACACACACAGACAACATCATGGTGTCGTCAAGCATCCTCGGCTTCCCCCGCCAGGGCGTTCTGCGCGACCTCAAGAAGGCCAACGAGGCCTACTGGGGCGGCAAGCTCTCGCGCGATGACCTCCTCGCCGAGGGCAAGCGCCTGCGTGCTGCCCACTGGAAGATCCAGAAGGATGCCGGTGTCGACATCATCCCCAGCAACGACTTTGCTTTCTACGACCACGTCCTTGACCACATCCAGCTCTTCGGTGTACGTTGCTAACCCATTCCCACCCCCGCTATCTCTCATATCGCACCATTTCTCGCCAAGATTACTCACACGCTCCTGCAGGCTGTTCCTCCCCGTTACACCGACACCAAGCTCGAGCCCCTTGACGAGTACTTCGCCATGGGCCGTGGCCACCAGAAGGACGGCATTGACGTCCCCTCCCTGGAGATGGTCAAGTGGTTCGACTCCAACTACCACTACGTGAAGCCTACCTTCCAGGATGGCCAGGAGTTCAAGCTGTCCTCCAACCCCAAGCCCGTTGTTGAGTTCAACGAGGCCAAGGAGGCTGGCGTCACTACCCGCCCCGTCCTTCTCGGTCCCGTCTCTTTCCTCCACCTCGGCAAGCCCGACCGTGACCAGTCTGTCGACCCCATCTCCCTTCTCGACAAGCTCCTGCCTGTCTACGTCGAGCTCCTGAAGCAGCTCAAGGCTGCCGGTGCCGAGTCTGTCCAGATTGACGAGCCTGTCCTCGTCTTCGACCTGCCCGAGAAGACCAAGGCTGCTTTCAAGCCCGCCTACGAGAAGCTCGCTGGCGAGGGTCTCCCCAACCTCGTCCTTTGCCACCTACTTCGGTGACATTGTCCACAACTTTGACGTCTCGCCGCCACCACCCCACCTGTACGGCCTCACGTCGACCTCGTCCGCAACCCCGAGCAGCTCGGCCCCGTCATTGAGAAGCTCGGCCCCAAGCAGGTCCTGTCTGCTGGTGTCGTTGACGGCCGCAACATCTGGAAGACCAACTTCTCCAAGGCCATTGGCATCGTCAAGGAGGCCGTCTCCAAGCTCGGTGAGGACCGTGTCATCGTCGCCACCTCCAGCTCTCTGCTCCACACCCCCCACACTCTCAAGTCCGAGAAGAACCTTCCCGAGGAGGTCTACGCCTGGTTCGCCTTCGCTACTGAGAAGGCCACCGAGGTTGCCATCATTGCCAAGGCCATCACCGACGCCGCTTCCGTCCAGGAGCAGCTCGATGCCAACGCCAAGGACATCCACGCCCGTGCCACCTCTGCCCGCACCAACAACCCTGACGTCAAGAAGCGCCAGTCCGAGGTCACCAAGGAGCAGCACAACCGCAAGTCTGCCTTCCCTGAGCGCATCGCCGCCCAGCGCAAGCACCTCAACCTTCCCCTCTTCCCCACCACCACCATCGGCTCCTTCCCCCAGACCAAGGAGATCCGTATCCAGCGTAACAAGTTCACCAAGGGTGAGATCACCGCTGCCGAGTACGAGAAGTTCATCGAGAGCGAGATCGACGATGTCATCCGTATCCAGGATGAGCTTGACCTCGACGTCTACGTCCACGGCGAGCCCGAGCGTAACGACATGGTTCAGTACTTCGGTGAGCGCATGGACGGTTACGTCTTCACCACCCACGCCTGGGTCCAGTCTTACGGCTCTCGCTGCGTCCGTCCTCCCATTGTTGTCGGTGACATCTCTCGCCGCAACAACGAGGCCATGACCGTCAAGGAGTCCAAGTACGCCGCCGCCCACTCCAAGAAGCCCATGAAGGGCATGCTTACCGGCCCCATCACCTGCCTCCGGTGGTCGTTCCCCCGTGACGACGTGCACCAGTCCGTCCAGGCCCAGCAGCTCGCCCTCGCCCTGCGCGACGAGGTCATCGACCTCGAGGCCGCCGGCATCTTCGTCATCCAGGTGGACGAGCCCGCCCTGCGTGAGGGTCTCCCTCTCCGCAGCGGCAAGGAGCGCGAGGCCTACCTCGAGTGGGCCGTCGACTCGTTCAAGCTGTCGACGGCCGGCATTGCCGACTCGACCCAGATCCACTCGCACTTCTGCTACTCGGAGTTCCAGGACTTCTTCCACGCCATTGCCGCGCTCGACGCCGATGTGCTGTCCATTGAGAACAGCAAGTCGGACGCCAAGCTGCTGCAGGTGTTTGACCGTGAGGCGTACCCCCGCCAGATCGGCCCCGGTGTCTACGACATCCACTCCCCCCGTGTCCCCTCGGAGGAGGAGATCAAGACGCGCATCGAGGAGATGATCACCAACGGCCTCCGCCCCGAGCAGCTCTGGATCAACCCCGACTGCGGTCTCAAGACGCGCCAGTGGAAGGAGACCAAGACGGCGCTGACCAACCTGGTCAACGCCGCCAAGTTCTTCCGCGAGAAGTACGCCGACAAGGCCTAAGCGCCTTGTCACGGGGGGGGCGCCATGTGTATTATGAGCGCGGCACGCTTCGGAAGCAAGGGCGGCGCGCTCCGGTTAATGAGGGACAGGAACGGGAAACAAGGTTGGTTTTTATCAGCGATTTTGATGAGCGGTCTTTTCAACAGACCTTGAACGAGGCAATACCCATGGGAGATTCGGAAAAGCCGGGGGCAAGGGGGCCCCTTTTCGGCAACATTCAACATTGGCGTTCGTTTTCAACCATCTCCACGGGCGTTGCAGGTGATATCGGGACCAACCAGCCTCAGAACAGGCGCGGTTTGGCAAAAGAAAAAGTGCATTCAACAGATGGCGCTTTGACACTTCGGTCGGTAGACTAGAATGAGAGCCCCTTAACGGGCTACGTCTAATGATCGATTTTAACCATCTTGGTTCTGTGGCCCCGTGATGTGTGTATCATGTTGTGTCGTGCTGCTTCTGTCGCTGATGCCGATGTAACGTTAGGGCACGTACACGCCCCCTCATCCCTGGATGCCTCAACATGATGTACCTTGGGAGAAGTTCCTTTTCAGGAGCAGGAACTCCTTGCGCTGTTGAACAGCTTTTGGATACATCATGGTGAATGCATTATTTCGTTCCATGGGTCTCGGGTCCTAGACCAGCTAGTATCAATGATGTCACTTTCCGAACCCCGAGTCAGACTAGAAATCGCCGGCCCGCAGAAGCTTGGAAATACGTGTCTCCTCTGAGACTCGCTCCGGTCTGATGCACGCCTGCCATTTCGATGGCGGTGGTTCGGAATCAACGTACTGCAGAACATGGATGGTCTCGCTGGCAGCGGGGCTGAATAAGCCGATGGAATCACAAGTGTTTGTACTGCTCATGTTACAGCGGGACTTGGGCACAGCGCGGATTTACGTCGCGAGGGTCATGAAGCAGTAGTGATGACTTTTTGTTTGGTTTGGTTTGGTCCAGGTGCGGCAGGTCAGGCAAGTGCGACCCCCATGACGTGCTTGTTCTCTGAGATCGGGCAGGAGCGATTGCTGGAGGATGTGACAGGATCGACGGAACTCCTCAATGGCTGATTAATCAACCTCGACACACTTGGTTTAAAGACATTCTTGCTCCAAGGAAGTTGAGGAGGACGACCTGGAAGTTGCAGAGCATTTAGATTTTGGTGTTCCTTTTCTTCAAACCTCAGACAAACAGATAGACGGATGAGAAGCGTCCAAGCCCTCAGATCAGATCAGCCAAGCAACCCCTCAACACCACAGATCATCACCAACAACACCCCCACCATGCCAGTCAACCAGCGTGCCAAGGGCGTCCCCTTTTACACACCTGCCCAGGAGCCCGCCGCCGGTACAGCTCTCAGCAGCAACCCGCCGACGCTCTTCACGCCGCTCCAGATCCGTTCCAAGACGCTCGCCAACCGCCTTGTCGTCTCGCCCATGTGCCAGTACTCGGCCGATGACGGACACTTGACCGACTACCACCTCGTGCACCTCGGGCAGTTTGCCCTCCACGGCGCCGCCCTCACCATCATCGAGGCGACGGCCGTCGAGGCGCGCGGCCGCATCTCGCCCGAGGATTCTGGCCTCTGGACCGACTCGCAGATCGAGCCACTCCGCCGCATCGCCGACTTTGTTCACTCCCAGGGCCACCTCGTCGGCATCCAGCTCGGCCACGCGGGGCGCAAGGCCTCGACCCTCGCCCCCTGGCTCGCCGAGGGCCAGACCCGTCAGGTGGCCCACGAGGCCGAGGGCGGCTGGCCCGACGACGTCGTCGCCCCGTCGGCGCTGCCCTACGCCGCAGGCTACCCGGCGCCGCGGGCGCTGTCGACGGACGAGGTCGGGGCCCTCGTGCAGCGCTTCGCCGACGCCGCCAAGCGCGCCGTCGCCGCCGGCATCGACGTCATCGAGATCCACGCCGCGCACGGCTACCTCCTCACCGAGTTCCTCTCGCCCCTGTCCAACGCGCGGACGGACCGCTACGGCGGCTCGTTTGAGAACCGCACGCGCATCCTCGTCGAGATTCTCGGCGCCGTCCGCGCCGTCGTCCCCGACGGCCTGCCCCTCTTTGTCCGCATCTCCGGCACCGAGTGGATGGAGCACGCGGGCCGCCCGTCCTGGGACCTCGACGAGAGCATCCGCCTCGCCAAGCTGCTGCCGGGCCTCGGCGTCGACCTCCTCGACGTCTCCTCGGGCGGCAACAGCGCCGACCAGAAGATCGACATCCACCCCTACTACCAGGTGTCGCTGGCCGAGCGCATCCGCGCCGCGCTCGAGGAGGACGGCAAGGCGCTCCTCGTCGGCGCCGTCGGCATGATCAGCAGCGCCGAGATGGCGCGCGGCATCGTGCAGACGGCGCGGAAGCAGAACGGAACGAACGGGGCCGCCGCCAAGCCCACGGTCGAGGTCGACGAGGAGCACGGCCAGGTGACGCAGGCCGACGTCGTGCTCGTGGCGCGCCAGTTTCTCAGGGAGCCCAACTTTGTGCTCAACATTGCCCGGGAGCTCGACGTTGACGTCAAGTGGGCGAACCAGTACCACCGCGCGCCGAGGCGCAAGCACTAGACGGGGGCGTGGGTGACGTGATGGCTAGATGGGAGGACTTTGATTCAAGGGGCCCAAAGCACACACGAATTTATGACCCTAGGAGAACCAAGGACATTAATACACGTTCATTTGCTATGCAAGTAGAAAGTCGAACGTGGGCTATAACAGGTTAGCGACGCCCAGCTATAGCTAATGATTTCTTCACACACAAAACAAAAAAAGTAAAATGAGAAGGACCAGGACTGGTTTCAGTGCTCTCTTGGCCCATAAAGTTTACCGCAGACCACACAAGTCACGCAATATCACACCCGTAGCTCGACGGCAATCTTATCCTCCTTCCTGATGTCCGCACTCCGCCTGCTCTGCACCTCGCTCTCGACCAAGGCCCTCACGAGCCCCGTCGCCAGCTCGGTGCCTCGGCCGACAGCCTCCTCGCTCGCGTCACACGGCACGTGCAAGAAGACGACGCGCCGCCGCTCGCCCCGGCGATAGAGGTGCGCCAGGCTCGACATGTAGATAAAGTCGCACAGGTAGCGCCCCGCGTCCTCGGAGATGCGCAGGTCGGCGTCGTCGGGGCTCAGCCGCCGCCAGCGCCGCAGCGCGTCGCGCACGTCGACGTCCGTCTCGAGCTCGGGCGGGGTCTCGGCCCAGACCCAGTCGGGGCCTTGCTCGCGCCACCGGTCGTCGTCGTCGAGGCGCGTGCCGTCGACGTCGGGCATCGCGTAGCCGTCGCGGTGGCCGCGGCGCTCGATGCAGTAGAAGGGCCGCGGGCCTGCCATGCCGATGTGGATGCAGAGGTCGATGCGTGGCGGGCTGGGGCCTTCACTTGGCGGTGCCGCCGAGGGGTTGCCGGGGGTGTCGTGGGGGAGCTGGTCCCAGAGAGTCGGCACGAGACCTCGGACGACTTGGTAGTTGACGCGGATGGCCTCGGGGTGGACGAGGATCCGGACGGGCGGCAGTGGTAAGGCTGGCGCCGTGGAGGGGTCGGCGTCGGCGGCGGCGGCGGCGGGCACGGAGGTTGCTGGTAGGTGGGACGGTAGGCGGCGTGCGATCTCCCACGAAGGGTTGACGGGGTAGGCGGCTTTGAAAGGCTGTTGGCATACCGCTTGTCAGCCTGGCTGCTTTCCAGTACGTCGGATGCAATCATGGATAGCGACAAGGGGAGCAGGGTACTTGGGATAGGAGAGCAGGGAAAGGCAGACGTACGCCGAAGCCGGTCACGAGGACCGTGAACTCGTCCTGCGAGTCGATCTGAGAGCCCATTGCGTCGGGAAATGAACGAGAACAGAACAGACAAATCAGGTCAATGGCAGAAGAGAAAGACAAGGTGATCTTTGGCCCTTCACGAGACGCCCCGGACGGATGTGCCACACAATGCGTTGCAGTGCAGAAGCTGGGGGATGTACGGATATATCGTTGTGGAAGGAGCTCCCAGTACCTGGTGCTTGCCTTGCACCTGCCCCTCACTCAGTTCGGCTGGGTTGATGCGGGGAAGGACACATGGAGCGAGCAGTCGATCGCCACTACCCGCGCTAAGACGTGTGCTAGCCCTTCTGGGCTGCTGCTTGAGCCAGATCTGGCTGTGCTCAGATCCGCTGTGCTCAGATCCGACTACTTGCTGTCAACCGTCGTGACAACTACTCATCAGTCCTCCATATTTATCATCCTCCTTTAAAAAGTACAGAGAAAATGGGTATAATATTCCTGCCCTGATTTATCGGAACACCCAATTACCGAGATATACCACAAAGAGCAAGCTCAGCTATCGTCATGATCATACACCACGAAGAGCAAGCCCCCCCCCCCCCCCCCAGCGCCTACGTCAAGTCTCTGGGAAGAACTAAGATCCGCAACCCCCCAGCGTCATCATACTCGACACGGCTTTCGTTGACGGCTCGTTCCATTTCTGGCCGCAGGACTGTCTTCTCGCCCGTCGTAGGATCCCATTCCCAGCCCTCCTTCATGTACATCCACCGCAGACACGCCCGCAGCTCTTTGTCATCCGGCCGCACTCTCATCCACCTGTTCTACCGTCAGCGACTATTGTTTGCGATGGTCAGGAGGCACATACTCGGGCTGGAACTCGGGTGGCGCTCCGAGGCCGTTCCAGTCCTGGGCCCGCCCGAGCAACTCGTCTCGGCAGAAAATCCGCCAACTGTCGAGTGCGTACTTCCCCTGCGTCATGTGTCCAATCTCCCATGCATCGCCTGCCTCTCTGTTGTCCGTCGGCGTTGTAGCATCCAGTGGCAGCTCGCCAGGGACCTCCCGCCTGTCGTAGCCTCGCACTCGATATACCACACCAGGCTGTGGCGGGGTCTCCACCCATGACCTGGCGTACTTCTGGATCATGGAAGTGCGATGCACTGCGAGCCCGAGGTGCCGAATCATGTCTGTGATTTCTGCTGTCGCCTCGGACGCGGCGAGGTGCTCTGGCGTGGGAAACCGTTCTTTCACCTTGTAAAAGGCTGGTATCGCCAACTTGCCCGCCGTTTTGATTAGGAATGTGACGGCAATGAGGAGCCAAAAGGGGTCTTGCGAAAGATTTTCCTGGATGAGACTGAAGCATGGCGCCGTCAGGGGCGGGAAGGGTATAGCCGAGACGGTGCCGGCCACTGGCCGCCTAGTCTTGGGTGATGGTCTGGGCTCCTCTGGGCAGAAGAAGGGCGATTTCACGGGGCTCCTCGACTTGAACGTCGTGTCTGACGGGAGTTGGTCTGCCACATCGTGAGAGAAGACGGTGTCTGGTGGCAGCAGAGGCTGGACCAAGTGCCCGTCCGTGGTAAGCTCCTGTGGAGAGAGATGTGTGTTGCTGAGCGACAAAGCGGCAGGCGGTGCTAGAAACTTGGGTCCGACATCATTGAGAACGTCTTGTTCAACAATAGTTGACGGGCGGTGATGACAGTCATGTGTGGTGTTTTCGGTAAAGACTTGCCCCAGCTGTGCGCCCTGCCCAGCAAGAGATCCAAGGGCTCTTGACACTGGATCGACGTCTGCTTGGAAAACAGAGCCCCACGCCTGATTGGGTTTGTAGCTCTCAGCAGAGGATGCCCAATACGGCGACTTGGTTTGTTTAGGCTGTACTTGTACAGAGGCCTGTGGTGCATCTCTGCGAGCAAGCTTCTTAATTTGGAGCTCCTCGCCAAAGCTGCGTAATGATTCGCGCAGCACTTGGATCAACCTATCCGTCTCTGCCCAGCCACTATGGTCTTGCATCATGACTGTCGACGCGTGACAGGGAGGATGGCACACGGGCATACCCCCGTCGGCGTCGAGCAGCATCTATTGGCAACTGGGCTCCGTTGGGTCGCTGCAGCGTGCCACACGCAGGCAGTCCACCCGCTCGCAAACTGTCGGCAGTGTTGATGAGATACCGATGGAAGCTATTTTTGACGCGGTGTTGCTCATTACCAGTAAAGTCCAGTCACGCCAGCCAGAACTGTCTCTCTCTCTTTCTCTCTCTCTCCAAGCTGGCGTGGAGGCGGACGCCGGGCATGCCGTGCTTTTCCAATGGCGTGAACATGTATGCAGGCGAGAGACGCTACAAGACGGTGCACGCGCCGTGCCGCCTGCAGCTATCGTTCACGTGGTTGACGTTATAGTTCGATGGAGTGGCGGCGATTGGTGGTGATGGTTCGCTAGGGTGGGTTGGGTGAGCTTATTAAGGGCGTTTGGGCAAACAGGTTCTTGGATGCCTGAATTGGCGACGGATGATGATCAAGTTGGCTTGTTGACTGATGATCCGAGCAGATCGACGGGAATGCCAGCAGATTGGTGTCTGCAGATCCGGAGTCAGCTCCAAGCACGCACAACACTGGGGCAATCCCGAGTCAACCCCATAATGTATGTCAAGGATGGGGGAAACTCGTTGGTACCATTTGGCAGGCTTACCATTTGGCAGGCTTATCACTCGGGTGTGCTGGCCGGTCGTCTTGCATTCGCTTAGAACGTACAGTAGAAACCGCGGGGAAACTAAAAAGCAATGTGTCAATGCAAGATGGCCCTGTTTTCGCCTGAAGCTTGAGTGGTCCCCTACGTCTCAGGTACTACGACCAGGCGATAGGTAGGCGTCTCTTCTCGCCGTGTCGGTATGCTTGCACGACGACTGACACACCGAGCAACGCTGGCGATTAATTGGCGAGGCATGCCATTGTCACAATGATCACGTCACGTCGACGAAGCGGTCTCTGAATCATAGGGACTCTGTTTGCGTCAGACTGGAGGGGGGAAAAGGTACCTCTCTACCTCTCTACCAGGTCATCTCCGGTAACGCGGCACACAAAAGCTGGCGAGGCTCTCCACTGCTCCACTGGCCACTATCTCCAAGCAGATGCACCCAATGAAACGGCGAGGGTTGGCACCAGAAGGTCACGTGCGTGCACAGCCATCCCGTAGCCTTGGCGCTCGGTGAGGTGCTCGAATGTGGGTGTACCTGTGGTGGGAGCCGAGTGGAGAGTCGCAATTGCTGACTGGCAGACCGGCCACGGCACACCCAACTCGCAGCGCCAGGCAGAGAGAGAGAAGTGTCAAGGTGCACGGGGTCTCCCCCCAGCGACCTGGCCTCGTCGCTTCCCCCCCCCGTTCTTTATTACAACCTTCCATCCAGTCTTCCCAACTCCATCACCTCCTCAATCCCCCCCCAACCACAACCACCCAATCCCTCCACCCATCAGCCGAAGCGCGTCCATTACGCATTACCGAACCCGGTCATCCTCAATCGTAGTAGATTTCGAGGAACGGAGATGAGCAGCAATCGTGGTAAATTAGCACCAGAAGTGAACCGGTATGTCTCGATGCTCTTTTCTTTGCACTCGGACCTTTTCGTTCTCCGAGCCTGTCCACGTTCGCGACCTGGCGTTCGCGCCCTTCGGCTCCGATTGCCCCCCCCCCTCCCTTACCTTCTCTTTCCATTTCATACAACGGCACATGGCTGACTAGCATCACAGAGCTCTGTTCGTAAAGAACTTGAGGTAGATCTCATCCATCATCGATGACCACGCGACCCCGACTCTGACCCTTTGTGCAGCTACAACGTAACTCCCGAGGAGTTGTTCGACCTGTTCGGAAAATTCGGCCCAATCCGGTACGCCCATGACCCCCATCAACCACGACGCATGACCATCTCGAATCCATCCATGACCATCGTCAATCGACCACACGACATGACTGTGACTAACAATGACTACAGACAGGTTCGACAGGGCATTGCCAACAACACGAAGGGCACCGCATTCGTTGTCTATGAAGACGTCATGGATGCCAAGCAGGCTTGCGACAAGCTGAACGGTTTCAACTTCCAGAACCGTTACCTTGTCGGTACGTGTCTCCCTTTTCCCCTGCAGCTCTCTCGTCGAGGCTGTCCTTTTGAGGATACATCATTAACGTGACATCCCCCCTAGTCCTGTACCACCAGCCAGAGAAGATGCTCAACCGCACGAAAGAGGACCTCGAGGCGCGCCGCGAGTCTTTAGCTCAGCTCAAGAAGCAGCACGGTATCGATTGACAATCCGACGGGTCTGCTGCACGCCTCCAGACCGCCACCCATGCGTCTGCAGGCCCGTCTTCCATGTCTTCACCCAAGACTTCCGCCGCCGCCGCCGCCGCGGCTTCCCCTTCTTCCAAGACGGCCCACCGTCACGACAAGCTCGGCGTTGCCGGGCACGTACGCCGGGCCGTCGTCCGCTTCGCCGACGGAGGTCGATCCAACGCCCTCCAGCCACAGACATGTGCGTAAAAAGGAGACGGCGCCTGTAACAACACACGCCGCCGGGGTCGGGTCGGGTCGCCTGCTCTGCTCGAGCAGGTCCGCCCCTCCCGGCTCCCTTTCTCTCTGCTCGCACTTTTTATGTCTCGTGGTTTTCGGCTTCAGCGGCGCCCGGAAGAAAACCTCGCTCACCTCTCTCATCGAGAGTTTCACGACCTGATACGAATATTTGGCGGTCATGACAGGGGCAACTCGGCGAATCCCTTACACCGGTTGATTCGGGCGCGCATCCTTTTTTTTTATGAGACGGCCAAAGTCTCTTTCTCCTCGCGGGTTGTCTACCGTTTTTTACTATTGCTTCTCTGCTACTTGTAGTAGTAGTCACATTCGATCGTTCGGTTTGCTTTGGGAAACGGGGAGGCAAAGCACGACGTACGCATGCACACATGCACACGCACCGACGCCGACCTCGCCCTGTGGATTACCTTCCTTAGATTCTTCCTCCCCCCCCCCCTTTTTCCGAGTCGCAGTCCCTTGACAGAATGCACGATTAGAGGTGTCCTCGCCTCACATGTGCCTCGATGGACGTCGATGTGTTTGTTTGATGTGATTGTTTGATGTGATGGCACTGATGCATGTGTATGTGCTACTTTGTAAAAGATGTTCTGGGGTATCGCCAATTGTGTTGCCATGGTCAACATGGGACTTTTCAACATAATGCTACCTCGTATCGTCATGTCACGGCCGTCCATGGTCAGTCTGTCTAGGCCACGTACGTCATGTCCTGATGCTCTCCAACGTAGCAACAACCCACTCCATGACCTCGCCGGCCTCGCTCGACGACATGTCCTCGTGCACGGTCAGACACCTCTCGACGACGTCCCGGTACAGGCGTCCCGTCTTGGACGCGAGGCCCGGCACGAGGACGGGCAGCACGACCTTGTCGCGCCACCGCTCGGCCGAGTAGTGCGGCTTGTAGTAGGTGCTGAGGACCTTCCACCAGCCAATCTCGAGCAGCACGAGGCCGAGGCTGTAGATGTCGTGGCTCTTGCGGTAGGGTTGGCGGGGGCAGTTGGTGCTGCTGCTGTCGTTGCTGCTGCTGTTTTTGCTGCTGCTGTTTTTGCTGCCGCTGCCGCTGCCGCTGCCGAAGGAGGAGACGCGCGGGTCGCGGTAGAGGTTGACGATGCTGGGGTTGCGCGGGTTGACGGACATTTCGGGGTCGAGATCTGGGCGGGAGGCGTCGAAGCCGACGAGGTGGGGGGCTTCGATGCAGGGGACCTGCGCCGCGAGGGACGAGGCGTCCTTCTGCGAGGACGCGGGGTCCTTTTGCAAAGACGACGACGGCGAGGCCGCGGGGCGGATGAAGAGAATGTTGGCGCTGCAGAGGGACTTGTGCAGCCAGTCGAGCGAGTGGAGGGACCAGAGGGCCACGGCGAGGGTCCGGGCGAGGTCGATGCGGGCCGTGAGGTCGGGGGTGCGGAGGGGCCCGGCGATGAGGGCGTGGAGGGAGGTGTGGGCGGGGTCCGCGGCGTCGGCGTCAGCTTCATCGGCCAGGGAGGCCGAGGGGCAGGAGGCGGGCGGCAGCTTGTAGACGAGGCCGTAGCGCGGGTGGGCGGGCGCGTCGTCGACGTAGCCGACGCAGTCGGGGGTGTGCAGGTCCGGGTGGCGGGCCGAGGCGGAGCGCAGCATGCGGGCGAGGTCGTCGAGGCGGCGGAGGTGCAGGAAGCGCTCGTCCGGGTCCTCGCGGTCGTACTCGACCCACTCGACGAGGACGGGGCCGTGGGCGCTGTGGCGGCCGGCGACGCGCGCGTCGGTGCCGGGCGTCGACCTCGGGGCGCTGCCGGGCGTCGAAGGCCCTCTCTGGGCCGACGGGCTCGCGTCCGCGTCCAGCGTCAGGTCGGCGCGCGCGACGCGAAAGGCAAAGGTCGGGCGGAACTGGGCCTGGGGCGTGAGGTCGAGGTTGATGCGCAGCTTCTTGAGGGCGGCCGAGGCGCGGAGCTGCGGGTACGAGTCCTCGGCGGACGAGGCGAGGAGGGCGAGCTCGGCCACGTCGCGCTGGGCGTGGTCGAGGAGCGAGTGGCGCCACGCGCGGTGGAGGGATGGCAGGCGAGACGGCGGGAAGAGCTGGTCGAGGCCATCGTTGAAGTCTGCTCGCGTCAGTTGCCGGAGAGGAAGCAAGTGCTCGGAGGCAAAGGCAGGCAGAGGCAGAGGCAGAGGGCCAAGATACCTTTGAGGTCCCTGAGGAGGGCAGTGAACTTTTCCTTGTCTGCAGATATCCTCATCAGCCGTCCAGCCGTGGACAGAGTCGAAACCCAGACATAACAACAACTCACCAGCAATGACCCATTTGGCCCGCAGCGTCAACTCCTTCCGCCACCCCCTCTCCTTGCCGCCGTCTCGCTCGCGCGCCTCCCTCTCCCCCCTCGCCAGCCCGCTCTTGGCCGCCGCCTCCTCGACGATGCCGTAGCGGTCCCGCAGCTTGACGAAATCCGTCACGGTCGCGTGCAGCTCCTCCATGATGCGCCCCGCGAGCGCGGCCATCTGCGGCGTGCTCTCGCGCTCGAGCCTCCCCTCGGCGACCCCCCACTCGCGGCCCCAGACGACGAGCCGCATCTCCTCGATGCGCACCTTGCACACGAGCCGCGCGCTGTCCTGGTCGAGCCGCGCCGCCGTCGTGAAGTAGCCGTACGCCCGCACGCAGCCGTCGAAGAGCTGGCCGAGGAACCCGATGACGCCGAGCGCCGTTGCCGCCGCCTCCGCCATGGCTGGTGCTGGGCCTTTGTGCCTGTGGCCTTGTGAGAGTTCCCCTGCAGCCCTGCCTAGGTAGCAACAAAGTGGTGGGCTGCAGTGGGAGTGAGCGTTGGGAGCTTGACGTCTTGGATTTCTACGTACAATGAGAGGGCCCTTAAAGAGGTGAGCTATGAATAATGGTCTCTGATACCCGGAAACCCCAAGTACCTTGGGATAAAGTCACAGAAAACCAAGATACTCCCCCCAACATCTTGTGCCCCTGAACAGCGGTACATGATCGTGGGACGTTTGAGGGCATCGGCGGTGCTGACATAATCATATCGCCAAAGTGGGGTCAAGCCTTTCCTCGGTGAGGTGCAGCATGTCCTGTTCAGCCTGCTTTGACAACATGGTCCCAGCATGGCCTGCTATGGTATGACATGCTCAGCATGGCCTGCTATGGTATGACATGCTCAGCAAACGAGAGCTCGTCTCTCTGCGATGGTCAACGCTGTGACCTCTTGAGCCTGCTACGTCGTCTGTACGGGGGACTTCTGTCAAGGTAGAAATCAACCGTCTACGTACCCGAGCATCATGTCTGCCATCTTTTCTGCAGCCCGCTGGCCAAGTCAAGTAATCTGTTCCCCGCCTCGAAATCCCAGCCTCGAACGCATGGAGACGAAAGAAACGAACATGTTTGCTTTTTTTCCAAGGGAGAGGTCAGAGGTCATCGCGTGACACCATGGCCCAGAGCAATGTCCGGTGCGGACACAAAGTGGACTCGACCGTCGTCAAGGTCTCGGGCCGAACATTGGAGCTGCCTTTGCGAGATGGCTCTGGAACAGACGCGGGCGAGGCAGGGCCGAAGGAAAAGCATGGTTCTGGGAGGCCCGGTGTTGAGAGGCCCGGCCCTGAGAACTGGTTTGCGAGAGAACACGCTCCCTCGTGCGCTGCGCAACCTGGCTTGACACCTAGATGCTCGCGCGGCCCTTCGTGCGCCAGGCTGTTCAAGCACTTCACCTCCAACATGCTTTACACCCCAAACGTCGTCCCGACACCCACACATTGACCCGTGCATCACCTCGCCGCGCAACTGAAAGATGACTGTGTGATTCATTTTCGCCTGAATCTAAAACCCGAAGCCCGCCGTGCTCTGACTGAAGACTCCTTTCCCGACAACATCATTCATATATGACCAACTGATGCATGGCCCTCGTGATTTCCCTGCTGTCCGTGGCGCCGTGGCGGCCGCGCAGCTTTTTCCATATGTAGCCCCCACCCTCTGCTGAGATCCCCTCCTCTTCGTGCCGAGGCGCTCGCGTCTCCCACCGCGTGGGCAAGCCGAAGACCCTCGTGCACGTTTCCCACTCCTCTGTTTTTTTCGCGACGCGCGCCACATGGCGTGGGGACCTGGGGGAGCGACCCGTCGGAGACGTGAGAGTTCGTACTTAGTACACCTTCTTCTTCTCGTCAATGCTGAACTGGCCGGGGCCGCTGTTGACGAGGAGGAGGAGACCGCCGACGATGGAGAGAATCTGGAAGAAGTCGTACTTGGCGAAATCCTTGTGGGGGTGGTGCTCGTGGAGCTGCCATCTCTCGTCAGTACATGCACCCAAGAAAACGCAAAGCAGGGGACCCTCGTACCGTCCAGAAGTTGTTCACAAAGAGGTTGAACACGCTGAGGATGACGACGAGCAGCGTGGCGCTGAACTTGGCCTTGAAACCGACAACGACCATGACGGACGCAATGGCGCCAATGATGGACACGATGATGCGGCCAAAGGTCCAGGTGCCGCTGAAGACGAAGCCGACGAACAGGAAGATGAGCAGCACGCGGCCGGCGAGCTGGAAGTACATCTTGCGGTCCTTCTCGTCGAGCTCGGGAATGCCGGCAAACGCCTTGGACTTGCGGACCCACGAGTCCGACATGACCATGAGGAGGCCGCCAATGACCGACAGGTTGCGCAGGAAGAAGTTGAGGTCAAAGATGAGACCGTAGCCGAGGGCCTGCGTGACGACGACGCCCATGAGGCCAAACACGGCGTAGTCGGAGTGCTTGCGGATGATGACGAGCACGGAACACGCGATCATGGCGACGACGTTTGTGAGAAGGAAAAGATGCGTTATGCCCGACGGAACTAGGGGGCAGTGTCAGCGGAGAGGTCCGGCAGAGAGGCACGGCGCGCCCACCGCTCGGGGACTTGGAGGAGGGCACAACATACTGTGTCGGTAGTCGTTGAGGTAAAGAAGCTGATCGCTCCACTGCGTGACGATGCGCAGAGCATCTTCGAGGAAGGTGACGACGATCAGGAATCGGCCAATTGCGGGCAGGTATCTGACAGAGAGACATGACAGTCAGTTTGCCTGCATTCCAGGGGAGGCTTGGAAAGAAGAAGGAGAAGAAGAAGGAGAAGAAGAAGGAGAAGAAGAAGAAGAAGAAGAAGAAGAAGAAGAACTCACGGCCTGATCGGCTCGCTGACGCTGTCAAGAAGGTCCTCGATCTTGCTGGTCTGTTGACGGATCACGTCCAGAGGGCTCGAATCACTCGAGTCCTGGCTGCTGGGACCACCGAAAGACGGCTGGCCGACGCCCAGGCCGTACGAAGGCCCTCTCTGCTGAGCCATGATGAGCGGCGGGGGAGGGTGAGAATGTGTGATTGGTGGTGGAAGGAGATGGCGTATCGCTGCGCGGAGGAAGAAGAAGAAGAAGAAGAAGAAGAGCTCGAGGACGGTATAGCCCTAGCCAGCAAGGGACAACAAGGTTGTTGGTTGCACACGAATGTCGAGCTTTCGAATTGAGGAGAGAACAGTCACCAGAAATGGGACCAGGTCGCGAGGCCGAAGCTGAAGAGCTGGGGAAGAATTGGCCGTGGTTCTGTTCGACAGATGGGCGGAAGGGGGGAAAATGTGGGTGGGAAGAGGATATGTTGTCCTGAAGCAGGTGATGCTCCTTAAGAAGAGGAGTGGAGGCGATTCACTGTGTTGAGCTTCCTGTCGGAGACAACCTAGGGGACAAGCAATGGAGCAATGGGGCAATGGGCGGGGAGGCGCAGAAGGCCGAAGTAGAGTTCACTGCTTCCAAGGCGTAAAGGAACCTCGCAGGGTGGATGACCTCAGACAATCCAATCCCATGGCGTGGAATCGTTTAGGTGTCCTTTTTTAGAGCCACGAGCAAAAAGCAGGTGCTCGTGCAGGTGAGGTACCTAACGTGCCGCAGCGCAAGTGCCCGAGCAGGTAGGTACCGGCTACGGAAGCTACAGCACCCAGATGTGGTGCAGCTCGAGCACGAGGGGTGTGGCTGGGCGGGGCCGCCAGCTGCCGCTCACCTGTGCTCCAGCGTTCCACCGCCAGGCGCCTTGGCGCTGTCCCCTCCGTACCTACCGAGCTGCCTAGGTACCTACCTACCTACCAGACTCGCTCGCGCCGTGTCTCTCCCTCTCACTGAAGACCTCCACTCACCCGCGGCGGCCCTGATCACGTATCCCGTCGTGAGCAGCCTCCTGCCTTTTCTGGCCACGACCTTTCCCCTCTTCCGACCTTATCTGCGAGCGGCAGTTGCTGCTATGGATGATGCGACCACGAGCTGATGAGACGTTCGATGGGTGCGCGGTTGCGTCCCTTCCACCGTCATGTGGTCCACATTCCTTCCAAGTGTGCAACCCGCCTTCGATCAAAGAAGCTTTTCACTGCACTAAACAGCATCGTCTGTCCATTTCAGGGCCTGAATGGTTGCTAGCTCTTGGTGTTGGGACTACGCCCCGATTCCTTTGATCACCAGTAGACGAGTCTTGGCACGCGGAACGATTCTCAAACTGTGCAGGCATGGCAGACGTTCGATTCTCAGAAACGATCACCCGTCGCACGTCAACAGCGTCTGGAAACACAATCTACTTGGTCGAAACAATCCTCTCGGTTGAAAATGTACAGTGAATCTGAATGCTGTCATGGCCATCCTCTATATTTCCAGAGGTGTAGCACGCCCCGTCAACCCATGTTGCTGCTCTCAGGCCCATATTCCCCCAATCGGATGAAGAATCGAAACAAAACCCCTTACCATCGTGGTCAATGCCGAATATAAAGGGTGTGGGGGTCATCGAAAGGAAATTTAAAACATGCTTTACAAACACCAAGCGCCCCTCCAGTTGCCGGGCCGAGTCCTGCCTAGCAAGCCCAACCTACGCAATTCCTCAGATGGGCTTGTTAGGGTACGAGGGTGGTGCGCTCGTCGGGTTTCCTGGTGTCGGCAGCTCCACGGGGGCCTGGCTCGGAGGCTGGTTAAAACTGGGCGAGTATACCATGCCGGGCGGCGGTGAGCCCTGTTGGCTCATACGCGGGTCAGACCTGGCGAGAGAGTCAGTTCATCTATCCATCAACACTTTCGACGCTCGTTGAGCTGCTTACATATACGACGTGTGCGGGTTCTCCATGCCGTGCCCACCATAGCCATAGCCATGCGCCGGCTGTGAGCCCACGGTGGCGGGGCTGTTTGACATCATGGCCGGCGGGCTGTGCTGGTCTTGATAGGGTTCAGACGAATGTTGCGTGCTCCATTGCGCTGCGCTCCAACGGCTGTCGGACCCTGGGCTCTTTGGTGTTGTCATGAAGTTGGCCTCGCTGACAGGCGGCGGCGGCGGCGGCGGCGCTTGATAAGTGTCTCGTCGTTGCGCCTTGTCGAGGCCGCCGCGCCTGCCACAGAACCAAATGAGTGCCGCGCCAATGATGAGCACAGCGACACCGCCGATGACTATGCCTGCAATGGCGCCAGCGCTGAGATCCGAGCCTCCTCCACCCGAGCCGGAACCGTCATTGGAGCCAGATGCTCCGCCAGAATCATTGTCGTTGGGTGATGGTGTACCCGATGTGCCCGGCGGGCGGGAATCGTCTTCACCGGGGAACGGTTCGCCAGGGAGGATCTGGTACGTCAAACCCTCGAGTGCGTCTTGTTGTCCTTCCAGCGTGAACGTTGAGTTCTTGTGTCTTGTCAGCAACGAAGGGCCAAGTTTCACCATGATGAAGCCACTCACAGGATTGATCACTCCGATCATGTGCTTCTGGTAACAAGAGCCAGGTGCACCACAGTAGTAGAATATGGGTTCCGTGTCATTGATTTTGACCTGGTATCGTGGAGGCTGTATAATGAGGTCAGAACAATGCTGCAATACTTCGTGATGGTACATGGACTTACATCGTTGGTGATGGCGGCGACAGGCTTGGGGCCACTGTAGAAGCCTTGTCTGCCAATATCGATGTATTCATACGGCGTGCAAGGGTAGCCATACTCTGCTCGGATGACTGAGTGGTTTGCTGGATAGAAAATCCATTCTGGGGCTGGGCATCAGCCTGGGACGACGCGACGACGAGTGTTACAAATTGAACTCACCGATCGTGTCACCAATCTCTGCTGTCACCTCGTCTTCTGTGAATCTATGGCCAGACTAGAAACACAGGTTAGTGGCAGTCCATGGGCATGACCTGTGTCCGTTGGCTTACAGCGCCGACGGCAATGGTGATGGTCTGAGGGTCTCTGCTAGAGGTAGAGGTCGCCACGCTCCGGCTCGGTGCCCTCGTCGTAGCAGGTGAGGATTCTGTGGTAGAAGCGCTGGTTGTCTCTTCCGCTTCCGAGTCCGACTGTGCGTGAACACCGAGTGTAAGGACGGCCCAGGCCATCAGTGGTGACACCAACATATTGACTGCTCTCATAGTGCTCAATGTGAAACGACGCGTGCAGTATCAACTGAGAGGTGTAGAAGAGGAATAGGATGGAGAGGACGGAGGCGGCCAACGGGGGGGGTGGTAGCAAATCATAAGAACAAGCACCCTCCAATCCTACATGGCCACTGGGAGGGGGAGCCATGAAGGGACCCAAGAGGAGCTGAGGGGGATGCCAGGAACTGGTTGGGGGCGGAGGCGGTGCCAGCAGCGATGGCTGTACCTTACGGCTGGGTAAGCTCAAGGCCCAGCCTGGCGCAGGATGGATGGCATCACATCCTGGGCGACGGCCCCCGGAAGAAAGAAACTCTGTGTAGTCTGTAAAGCCACCGCATCCTAGTGAAGCCATGTCCTCGCCCAAAAGAGGGTCCATACTCGACGCCTTTGTCCCCCCCACCAGCGATGTATCATTGAGCCTAGATCTAGACGTTCATCCACACAACGGGTACGATGCTAATCGGACGGGTCTTCCGCGAAGGACATACGATGAAGATCTTGGACCAAAGCATATGCTGAGGGCTTGGCGGGCTAGGATCAAGCTGACATGCAGGAGGGTGGTGGGCATATGCAGCCTCACCGCAGTGGTCATAATTGTACCGTCGTTGCTCGACTATGGTGCGGGATACGAGCATGTATACTTTGGCCAGGCATTGCCGTTGTAAGACAGTGACGGTCGAAGAGACAAGTTATCAGCCTTTGTTTCGATCAGCAAGTTGCCTCGCGACTTGGCGTCGACAAAGCGCTGAACATCGTCATGGGCGAACAACAGACAATGAACTCGAGGTGGCGGGTGCACACCACTGAGATTGCTCTTTCGAAATCCGTCCACCCACGCGCGGGCTCGGCAGCGGGGTCTGCATGAAGAGAGCCTTCGAATGCCACCCTCCTCGCCCCATGCCTGCCAGCTTCCTGTATGTGCCAATACCCAGCAGATCGGGCCATGGACGAAGAGAGCGAGTGGTCCGCGGCCGGGCGGCCGATCTGCGCATGGGGGCTGAAATGAACAACAAGCTCCCGCTGGAGTTCCAAGAGGTGAGGTCGGCCGCCGTAGTGCGCTAACCTGGAATAGGCTGGCCAAAGTCATTCGACCGACGGCTGAAGTGGAGCTTCCCGTTGGTGACAACAAAAAGTGTGGTGACAGGTGGCGGCCAGTCCGACCATCCCTTGCGTCGAGATGGTGTGAAGGGCTATGTTGAGAAGACCGGCAGAGGCCCCCAGCCTTCATTCAATGTGGCTTGGAGACCGGTGTCGCCGCCGACCTGACCTCTCAGAGGACCATATCGCTTCCTTGACCGCATGTGCCGTAAGCTGACGAGGGCGAGGGGCCGAGCTAGCATCATCGGCCCTGGCAGGTCCTGGACGGGAGGAGGTGGTCCTCTCAACCGTGAGGCGTTCTTCGGCATGGGAGCCCGATGGCCACTAGGTCATCGTTTCGCCAGATAGTGTTTCTCGAATCGCCTCGATGCCGTATTCTGGGGCGCTTCTCTGGCGCCGGATCATTTTAGCTTGGAGTCGCTAATCGAAACTCGACAGCTCAACATCCATCGTCACATGAAAGGAGATGCGTTCAGCTGGTTCTGATACCTGTAAGAAAGATCAAGACCAAGACGACCGGCGCATCTTCGATGACGTTAAACTCTGAGGATCCTTTCGTGGCTGGCATCATGCCATGCTCTTGTCATGACTTCAGCTCTCGTGGCTCCAGTGGAAAACGGTTCTGGTTGGTCCAAAGGGAAGAAGCGGCGGAGGGGGATTGCAATGCTGAGGATTGACCTTGCTTAGTCATCCAACGAGGCCTTGATAAGATAAGCCAGGAACGCTCAAAGCTCGCTGTTGCAAATTGGGAGTGGCTGGCCAATGAGCAGACGGCTGTCTGTGCTCCAGCCTCGCTGCCTTGCAATTCAGACAAGCCCAGCCGAGAGCCTCAGTCAACTTCCATCCATCTTGCTCCAGAAAGCAAATCGCTGATTCGCCGCGTGCATTACCTACGCGCAGCCATTGATCAGCGCTCTTTCCTTGTCATCGCTGTCGAGGCTCTTTGACCGACGACCGTCAGTATGAACGGCGACGGCTACTCTCGAGGTTTGTTGTCTGTGGCCCCTTTGGCAAACTTGCCCTTAACAGTATTTTCGCAGACGAGCGACGAGGCGGAGGTGGAGGTGGAGGTCGCGACTACCAGGTATGCTAACCCCTTGACCATTGATACTCCGCCTTTTCACTAACAATGCACTTCCCAGCGCGGACATCGCGAGGACCGGCGCGATCGAGAACGCGGCGGAGAGCGCGGCGGCGACCGCGGCCAGGAGCGCGGCCACCGAGACCGTCGCCGATCCCGCTCGCCCTACGAACGAGGCTCGAGACGCCAGGAGAACGACGATAGCTACGCCGCCAGCCGGAGCCACAGGGAACGCGAGCGCGAGGACAGATACTCTGGAAGAGACAGGCGCGCCGAACGGGATTGGGACCGTGATCGCGGTTCGTCCCGGCGCGATGCCAGGAGAGATGACGATGATCGCGGCGTGCGGAGGGGAGGCGACAGAGACCAGTTCGACGACCGCAGGCGTGGTGGCCGCGACAGAAATGATGAATTCGCCCGGCGTGAGCAGCGTCCCCGGAGCGCTAGCCCGCCCCCCAAAAAGCGCGAGCCGACCCCTGATCTAACCGACATCGTCTCGGTGCTGGACCGCAAGCGCCGCCTCACCCAGTGGGATATCAAGCCCCCTGGCTATGAGAACGTCACGGCCGAACAGGCGAAGCTGTCCGGCATGTTCCCTCTGCCCGGTGCCCCGCGTCAACAACCTATGGACCCTACCAAGCTCCAAGCTTTCATGAACCAGCCCGGCACCGTTAACAGCGCGTCCCTGAAGCCTAGCAACTCTCGCCAGGCGAAGCGGCTGCTCGTCAGCAAGCTTCCCTCCTCGGCGACCGAGGATAGCGTGGCCAGCTTCTTCAACCTGCAGCTCAATGGCTTGAATGTCATTGAGAGCACCGACCCTTGCGTGTCCTGTCAGCTGTCAAACGACAAGTCCTTCTGCGTGGTTGAGTTCCGCAACGCCTCCGAGGCAACCGTGGCTTTGGCATTGGATGGCATCTCGATGGAGGCCGATTCTGCTACCGACGGCGCTGCCGGGCGCGGATTGGAGATTCGCAGGCCCAAGGATTACATCGTCCCTGCCGTCACGGAGGAGCTGCCTTACGAGCCTGGTGTTGTTTCCAGCAATGTTGTCGACACGCCGAACAAGCTCAGCATCACTGGCTTCCCGCCTTACCTGACGGAAGAGCAGGTTACAGAACTCCTGACATCATTCGGAGAGCTCAAGGCTTTCGTGCTTGTTCGCGATAGACACACAGATGAGTCTCGGGTAGGTCGAGGGATCTCTTGCAAAAGACACAGTTTGACCAACGATTTTCTTAGGGCTTTGTGTTCTGCGAGTATGTCGATAGCGCTGCCAATGATGTTGCTATCCAGGGCTTGTCCGGAATGGACCTCGGAAACAGCAAGCTCAAGATCCAGAAGGCCAGCATTGGCGTCACGCAGGTTGCAGGCGTTGAGATGGGTGTGGCCGCCATGTCCATGCTGGCCGGCACCACGGCGACCGACTCCGAAGAAAGCCGGGTATTGCAGCTTCTCAACATGGTCACGGCCGACGAGCTGATGGACAATGAGGACTATGAGGGTATGTGGCTCTGCAGTGTTTGGCTCTGTGAAGTACTCGCTAACTTTTCACTCCCAGAAATCGTGGAGGATGTGCAGGAGGAGTGCGCCAAATATGGCACCGTCCTGGAGGTCAAGGTACCCCGCCCTGTTGGCGGCAGCAGGCAATCAGCCGGAGTTGGCAAGATTTTCGTCAAGTACGAGACCAAGGAGGCGACGAAGAAGGCCCTCCAGTCTTTGGCGGGCAGGAAGTTTGCGGACAGGACTGTCGTCACGACATATTTCCCAGAGGTATGATCTTTGCGATGCCCGGGCTTACGTCTAGAGATTAACATTTGCATAGGAGAACTTTGACGTGAATGCTTGGTAGGGTACATCAGATAGTGCCCCTGCAAACTGGTTTAACGGGCAATGGAAAGGAACACGAAGTGTGTCACAAAAAGGGTCCAGAGTCGACCCACGGGAAAGTTAGTGGATGGGCCATTCTGAGATTGAGTTCAAACGTTTGCCACAAGACCCAGAGCCCATGTATCATAGTGTCATGAGTAAAGACAAACTGCGCCAGAAATGCCATGTCAATCGGCTGTGAAGGGGTGAGATGTGATGAGGACATGGATGACACTGAACATTTGATGTGTAGTTAAGAGACTTTTAAGTCGTGCCCGATGTCTTGGAACATGTTTTGGTAGAGAAACGTGTTACGCACACGGATCAAGCAGACCGAGTCACATAGATATAGCTTCAACGGACACAGAAACAGTTGGACAAATGGTTATTGTATTGAGCTACATACGCCTCCATAGGCTTAGATGCTGAGAGTAAGGCTACTTTGCTGTCAGTCTCTGATACCCAAAATGCGTTCGACGAGACAGTAAAAGGGTTTGCAGCATCAGAAGTCCGTTTAATGCATCGAGCCGTGAAGCTCTAAAATAAGAGGTACCAGAAAAAATGTAAAGGTGATAATCATCATTTGGAGCGTAGGAAAGACCTGGAGAACGGCGGCAGACTTACGATGTACGAGGAACGGTCGATTGGCGCAAGGGAGCGCGGGTGCAAAGAAAAGAATGGACAGAAATGTGGAAGCGAAGTGAGGTGGTTGAGAAGAGTGAAAGAACGATTGAAAAGCAGAGGTGAAGAAAAGCTGTCCAGCTTGAGGTCCACCCAAGTCAAGATTGCAGATTGATGCACAGACCACCCACTGCCCTTCCCATCCAGCCACCCCTCCTGTCTTCCTATCCCGGAAAATCCACCAACAGACAGCCCAACTCAGGGTGGCCCTAATTAACCGAGAAAACTCCTCACACAATCGGACGGCCGACCCTCCACTCCACCATTGCAATCGTAGGCCGCGCAGCAACTTTTCTCTTCCTCCCCCTCTAGCGACTGAACGACCAGCAAACACGAGCCTACCGCCGTCTCCAGCAACGACCACCGACAGCCGCCAAAATGGGTAGAATGCACAGCAAGGGCAAGGGCATCAGCTCCTCTGCTATCCCCTACTCGCGCACCGCGCCCTCGTGGCTCAAGACCAACCCCGACCAGGTCGTCGACCAGATCTGCAAGCTGGCCAAGAAGGGTGCCACCCCCTCGCAGATTGGTGTTGTCCTCCGTGACTCCCAGGGCATTGCCCAGGTCAAGATTGTCACCGGTATGTTGCGCTTGGGAAGACGCCCGGCAAGGTAACAAAGCATTTTGCTAATAAAGATGGTACAGGAAACAAGATCCTCCGCATCCTGAAGTCCAACGGTACGACCCCAATAGCAGTGTGAAGCGTCGGTGCGATGAACGTCCAGCAATGGACGTGGGAAGAAGAAAAAAATCAAACATCAAACCGCTCGCGAGGAGACGACCTTGCATCGTTCTCCCGAAACGCAAACAAAAACTATGCCTCTGTACGGTCTCGGCTGACAGAGTGATCACTACAGGCCTCGCCCCCGATCTTCCTGAGGATCTCTACATGCTCATCAAGAAGGTGAGCTACCCTCCTCCGTCCGCAGATGGCGATCCTGAGTGCCATACTAACATGTCATCTAAAGGCCGTCGCCGTCCGCAAGCACCTCGAGCGCAACCGCAAGGACAAGGACTCCAAGTTCCGCCTCATTCTCATCGAGTCGCGTGTCCACCGTCTTGCCCGCTACTACAAGACCGTCGGCGTCCTGCCCCCCACCTGGAGGTACGAGAGCGCCACTGCCAGCACCATCGTCGCTTAAGCGATGAGCTGCTCGCGAGTGGAGGCCCGGACAGCGGGCCCAGACGAACGTTCCAGCGGAGGAAAAATTACGGTGGTCATGGAGTTGGGGTTAGGAAACTGCATTTTCGGCAGCGCAGCTTGCTCCTTCTGGTCGTCACGACGATCATGATAGTCAGAGACTTCGTTGAAATGAAAGCAAAACGATTCTCGGCACCTCAATTCAATAATGCCGCCCTCAAGTTAACATATGCCTATGGGTATCTCTCGCGCGTGACATGTATGCTCGGCGCCCCTTTTGACCCCCCCTTTGAACGCCTGTCCGATGGCCATTTGCCGACCTCGCCGCCCGTCTGGTCCATGCTACAGTTGATTGCTGCCCTCCTTCTTCTCATATCTTTGCGCCCGCCTCGTTTATACAGCCTTATGTGTCGCAGGACTTAATTGTCTGTCTGCTCGAGTTCCTTGGATCGCTGGATGAGGTAATTGCCCAGAACTCGAAGGGGGTCCTTGGGTCTAGTGCAGCGTCAGCATCACCATCTAGATATCTTTCTCAATGTAGCGACTCACTTGTCTTTCGCAATCTGTTTCATGCCGTCAAGCAGCACAGTCGTGACATTGTTGTTGAGATACTGGCGGACGGGATCGCCGTGGGAAGCAGCCTTGTCAGGCATTGTGAAACCTGGGTCAGGATGGACCGAGCCGGCGCGGGAGCTGCCAGGTTCCTTATCGTGGTTGCCATTGACGGCACGACTGGGCGTAGTCGTACGAGGCATAGGGCTGGCAACAGTAGGGGTGAAGGGCTGGGGAGCAGGAGCGGGCGACTAGGAGGGATCACAGGGTCAGCGAGGATGTCGGGTATCGCAAGTAGTTGGCACCCCTTACCGGCGCGTTGTCGCCAGTGGGCGCATCGGGCATCAGCACGTCACCAGTAGCGGCAGCCGTCTCCAAGGTTGACGTTAGATCCGTTGAGGGGGTGGGAGCGAGCTCTTTGGCCGCCGCGGGTTCTCCAATGGCTATCTTTGTTCCATCGTCGGGAACATCCACAGATGCGAGCACAGGTGCGGGAGCAGGCGCAGGGGCAGGCACGGGCGCATCTGCAACAGGCTGGTCGGCGGATGTTTGCGGGGTGTCCGCAGCGTTCAGTGTGTCTGACATTGTGCTGTAGTTGATTGAGATAACGTTTTTGTGTGGGTGTAGATTGCTCAAAAGCCAACGTTGCTGATTGTCATGTGTCGAAGCTGTTTGCCAATCGATGTTGCAAGTCCAATGTTGAGATGGAATGGGTCGGAGTGGACAAGCGGCAATGCAGTTCTGTTGGGGTTGAAAAAGTAAAGACTGTTGTCGATTCGTCACTCGCCAGCTGAGTGTATGTCGTGTGTCGTGAGGCTTTTCAGCCGGTCTCAGGCTACCACAAAGTCGAAGGGAAGATGCTAGACTTGTTGCGTGCCGTCACTCGGCGTAGGCTCCTCGTTGTGCGACATGGCTTTTAGAGGGGCTATGCTTCTAGCGCTATTATGCTGTGACACAGCGCGAAGTCAGCTGACCTCGCGTCCCTGTGACGCTGCACATCGCCACAGCCAGCCTGTGCATGTCGCGTGAATTTGCCATCTCCATCAAGCAAACGTCGCGAGATCCATGCGCACAGCTTGATCGGCTAAGATGACGGATCTGAGCAACCATCATGGATGCCTTTGTTCAACGGCGACCTCGGGCCCTCGCCTCTAAACCTGAATTGCCCCGGCCAAAGTCGCCCTCACCTGAGGAGCCTCCCATGAAGAAGCCCAAGGTTGAGGATGGCGCTCCAGATCACACAGTTGCAACAGATGCTGTCGGCTGGTTCAATCAGGACTCTGATGAAAAACTCGCAGTTGCTTCGCATGAGGAAGATGTAGAATCGGAGAGTCGGGACACTCGACATCACCATCCCGCCATTGAGGATTCATTACCACCAGTCGAGACAGACAAGGAAGCCATCGAAAGATACGAGTTATACAAGGCATCTCAGTCTTCGGATGTAGACGAAAAGCCTCAGTGGGTCAAGGGTAAAAGCTCCATTTACGTCGATGCCTTCAATCTGGCACTGGATACAGTGTTGGAAGACGAATCTCACCTGTTCGACATGAGAGAACGGACTGTCTTTGACCAATGGAGGCTCCTTGACTACCAAAGTCAATATCTGTGAGCCGCCTCCATCGTCATTCAAGGACGTCCAAGCTAATGCTTAAATCAGCTACGTTCGTCTTTTCCTCCGTAAGACGTCTGCATGGCATCGTTCCGACCGACTCGGATATCATAGTGATATCTCGGATATGGACACAGCCATTGCAAGCCTTCAGGAAACAAGACGGCTTCCAGAAGAAGCTCCAAGCTCACAAGACGACCCGGTGAAAGGTGTTGCTCTTGAAGAGTTTGGTCTCGGCGACGACTTCACATTTGCCGACAGCTCTGAGGAACACATTACAACGGTGGACGAAGCTGCGACCCTCCTGGGACTTGAAGAGCTCAAGGCTTTGTGCAAAGAAGCCAAGGTTCAGGGGAAGAACAAGGCAGGACTCGTCAAAGCACTATGCCGCATGAGCTATCAACAGGCAGGGCTTATGTCCGTCGGCCTGCAGAGGTCGGCGAGCGGGAGTCGCAGCAGCAAGGAGCCATCGCCCGTCAAAGATTTCTCGCCGGTAGCCTCTCGATTACCACCGACCTTGACGAAACAAGACTCGAATCGCGCTCAGCATTTCTTGGACAAGATCCTGGCGATCACAGGCCCCTGTATCCGACTGTCGCCATTGACGTACAAGTTATTCGAGAGGGTGCATCTTGTCTTTTATCGGTCAACAGAATGGACCGAAAAGTCATTGACAACCATCATCCTTGCCAAGATTGCCCGACGCAATTTTCCAGAGTACATTGTCTGTCGAACGTCAAATATCTTCAAGTCAAGGAGACATCTCTTAGAGTTCGAGGCGGGTGTTCGTCTCGAAGCGGAGGTCGAGCAAATCCTAGAATTTCATGGACCACCCGGAAAAGAAGGCTTCAGCAAGGTTATTGATATCTTCGACAGGATTTACCCTCGATGGCAGGTGCTCATTCAGAAAGAGCTCATCAAAGAAGCCACAGTCTACGATCCAGGGGAAGGAGCCTATCTGAGGCGATTCACACCGGTGCATTCGTATACACGCATCATCCACAAGGCTACATCGGTCCTCGGCCGCCTGAAGGAGCACAAGAAGGAGCATGAACTCCTCACCGAACTGCTCGACCAGAATCTGTTCCACCCGGCGCGGCGCGGGAGCTGGTATCAACGAAAAGCTCTGCTGGAAGAACACTACATGCATGCACTCGACCCGGCTCCCGTGTCTGAAAATCTAGAAAAGCAGAAGAGGCACTGGAAGAGAATCGCCATGTCGACATGCGAAGCCGGACTCCAGGACAATGACTGCCACGTCATCTTTCACTACGACTTGCAGAAGCGCCTGGTCAAGATTGAAAAGCAGCTTCGCATCCCATTTCGTGAGCAGCACGATTTCGGTCACATCCGGCTGAAGGCCCCAGAGGAGCACACGGTGGAGGGTGTGCAGCTGAAGGAGGCAGACCCCATTGGCAAGAATGGACGTCAGGCCAGCACCAAGACGCATTGGCTAGATGAAGAGGAGGACGGGGGTGAATGCAGTGTTGAGGAGATGTGCCTGAGCTCATACCGCAGCAAGGGCTGGAAGGGATACCACGCCGAAGGAGGCATCATCCGCACACTGTTCGCGTACCTCTTTTACGACGTTCTGTTCCTCTACGTTCCGAATGTATTTCAGACGGCTTATCAGACGTGCCCGCTCGACTTGCACACCGACTCTTTCTATCCGACACGCGCTTCCGAGATCAACCACCGGCTGGTGGAGATTGCCAACGGGGCCGCAGAGCGCATCATCCGGCAGGTAAATGAGCGAGAGCGGGACAGGCGGACATGCGTAGTGGGCTTGAACTGGGATTACGACGTGGAAGATTTAATCGAGCTCGTCGGCTGCTTCAACAGCAGCGCACTGTCCACGATCTGCAAGGTGATGGCGCAAGAGTATCGCCAGCGCGGAGGTGGCATCCCGGACCTGATCCTCTGGCGGACCGAGCCTCAGAAGGAGTGCATGTTCGCCGAGGTCAAGAGCGCGAACGACCGTCTCAGCGATACGCAGCGGTTGTGGATTCACGTGCTGACGGGCGCCGGCGTCAGGGTCGCGCTCTGCAATGCTGTCGCGCGCGAGATCAAGGTGGTCGACTAAGGCGTGAGGATAACCTGGGCATTGACCAGTCGGTTGCGTTGCAGGGCCATCCATCGCATGTGACAGCCAGCGGCTGGCAGATTGCGGCAGTGTTCATATGCACGGCGGGCGAGTGACATGACAAGATACAAACGGTGGCGATGCGTCGAGACTTCCTTCATCTCGTATCAGAAACTACCATGGTTGAATGCGCGGTTCTGACCGATGAGGTCGCCCCCCAGAGCGGCCTTTGATTCGTCCTGTTTCCCTCGTGGGCAAATGATGGTCGACCCCGGCAAGTTTGTCGCAGGGCAATGTGAAACGAGCTTGGGCCAAGAATAGCAACAATCCTCGAGATGCGCTGCAGCTGTGAGTGGTTGAAGGGTTTTGCAGAAGCAAAAGCTTCAATGGAGCGAAGCGCGTGGCATCCCCAGCTTCCTGGGCTGGTGATGCTGCAGCTCATGTCGACATATCACGAGCTCTGGTCGTTTCAGCGACCGCCTTATGCTTGGCTCTTGTTTCAGGAGCTTCGACGGGTAGGTTTCCGGGCTCTCGTGAACCTTGTCTGGGAGAAAGAAAAGGGTTCATCGGAGATTTCGGTCGACCCAATCACAAACCCCTTCCTCAATGCAGCGGCCCCGGTCATATCTCGCTGCCAGAGTCGGTCAGGTGCTCGAGGCCCCTGTCCTTTTTCTCTCCCCTCGCTGCTGGACTTCGACCAGCTCACCCGAGCAGACAGACGCCAGGGCAGCAGAAGCAGGGGAGGAGGAGGGGCGTCTGGCATGGGCGTCGACGTTGGCGTTGGCGCCAGCAAGGCAAGGCAAGCAACGCACTCTAGCACCAACATGGCATCAGTGACAAGGCGCGGCAGAGTGAGCGAGCGTTGTGGTAGAGGCAGAGAGACAGGGTTGGGGGAGGGGAGGGGGGCCAGCAAAGGGATCAAACTACGCAGCAACAGCAGTAGTAGCTGCAGCACGGAAGCACAAGACAGACCAAGTCGTCACACTGGCTCGTTCGGCATGTCGATGTCCGATTCGCGCAAGAGGAGGGGAAGGGTACGTGCTGTATGTACCATGTATGTGCGGCTTCGCCTGGCTGCTTGCCTACAGCAGCTACCTGCCTCTCCGTCGCGCTGCTGCAAGTTGCCTTGCGTCGTGCGCTGCGCTGCTGCGTTGCGTTGCGTTGGGGCGCTGTGTGCTCCATGCGCGCCGCGGCAGGCAGGCCCATGATCACAGTCTTCTTCGGCGGTTCTGCGATGCGGGCACATTGTCTCGGAGGGAGGGGGGACGAACGGGGGGCCAGGCGGTTCCGTCCCAAGATGAGATGGCAGATTCGTTTTCGCTGTGTGCCCTCTCACAAGGCCCGTCTTTCTTCACCGAGGTAAGAAACATCGGACGTCCCTTCAGCTGCTTCAGCTCACCTTGACCTCTCTCACCTCGCTGAAGGAACCCAAGCGGCCAGCCCGTCACCTCGATTGTCGACCAACCAACCATCGGCAACAAGAGGGAGAAAGAAGAAGAAGAAGAGTGCCCTGCGGATGCGGAAGCACGATGTGAAAATGCAATCACAGTTCAGGTTCTTGCGTCTGATCAATCAAGCCCTCTCTCGCTCTCAACCACCCACCCGCCCACCCCTTGTCACGCCGGCGCTTAATCGCGACCAGGGTGCGAAGCCATGAACCAACGACGGCAACCAATCACGACGACCACCGCCCGATTTCTCCCAAATTCTCCCAAATGTGACGGGCTCGCGCACATCCGCCGTCGAACCAATCACCCCCTTCCCGCCCGAACGCCGTTCGACAAGGCGCCTAAACCGCATCCCCCGTCCAGTCAACGAGCTGCACTTCCCTCCTCCTGCCCTCTTCCCGCTTCTGGACCAGGGGACGAGGGGAGACGAGGGGAGGGGAGGAGTGCGCCATCACTGGCACCCCTCTCCCCCCTTCTTCTTCTCTTCGCTGAGCCCGGGATCCTGGGTCCACGGTCGATTCTGTCTGGCGTTAGCGCCTCCTCCGAACCAGTGAGTGCTGTGCCGTTTTTACTCTTTGCGCTTCCGTGTGGCACCTGCACCTCGACACTGTGTGCGCCTTTGCTTCTCGACACTGGGCTGGACGGTCTTTGTGATGTGACGACCGGGTGATGATGCGTCGTCTTCCGGATAGAGGATGGCAAAGGAGTCCTGGGGGGAGAGAAGGGGGGGCGGGAACGGAGGGGGGTATGGTGACAGCCGGTCCACGGTCATGAGGAACGAAGAAGCGCAAAACGGAGACCTAGTCAACGGACAGATGCGACAGGAGAGAAGGGGGGGGTGTCTACAGAGAAGAAGCAGCAAAAGCACACAATGGAAGAACAGACAAGCACGAGAGAGGGGTGGACGGCCGGGAGAGGCTTCGCTGACGGCGAGACACATGGCAGACCGCCCGGATGCTGGGAGGCGAATCCATCGTGAGTCGTGATAGACCTGCCCAAACCGTTGACCGAGCCTCGTTGGCCTCGCTGCCTGCGTCTCACACGGCGAGTCGACGACGACGCGACGCCATACTATGGGGGGCCCCTCCTCCTCCCAAGCGGAGAGGGCATACGAATCAACACACTTCAGAAACTTGCAAAGACGTAGGCGGGACGCCGCTGGCTGGCTGGCTGGCAGGCAGGTCAGAAAGAAAACAATGGTCCCTGCAACACCAGCGTCGCCGGGTGGGTCCGCTTCTCCACGACCGCGTGGCCGCATCGAGGGCCGCGCATCACAGAGAGAACGGCCTTCATCTATTTGCCCGCATGCCGCCGGGGCGAGGAAGAAGCGAGGGTGAGAGACAGAGAGGGAGGGAGAGAAATAGAGAAGCGTGTCAATAAACAAACAAACATGCACCCAGTCATGAGCGGTCATGCAGAGACGCGAACAAGAAGTCACATGTCGAGTGACTTGCGTATGAATAGTGGGTTCAGCAATACTATTGCGAGTCGGCTTGTATCGAGCTGTATTCCTGACGCTGCCTATCGAAGCTCCAAGAGAGCCTGGCTGCCCCCCTCCCTCCACTTCCCCTCCTCTGCGTCTGCTCTCCGCTGCCATTGATATGCCACCCTACAGCCTGGCCACTCACCTCCGCCCCCCAGCTCCTCTCCTTCGCCGCTACCGTATGCTCCCCCTCCATGCCTAAGCACGCAGCAAAGGAATAAAAAATGGACAAGTGTATCCCAGAAAAAGTAGTGTCCGCCTGTCCCTTCATGGTATCGCATATTGCAGGCCCAACATTGTGTGAGCCCCTTGCACCTACGCCGTAAAACTCCCAAAAGTTCTCCTGTGTCTGAGTTTCGATTTAAATGTGTCCCGGTAAGCCTGGGTCGTGAGGACCCAAACCTCCCGAGCTCTCCGGTCCGGTCCGCTTGCAGTCGTCATCCCTCCGAATACGCCATTGACATGCGCGCCAGCGAGCCTGCTTGTTGCAAATCAAGGAGGGAATAGTGTGTGTGTGTGTGTGTGTCCGTGAGTATTTGCATAAACGTCGTGTCATCTGAGGATTGGTTCGCCCTCATCATCTTTTGGAGAACGAGAACTGGGAGGTCGTTGAACAAAGAAAATATCGAGTCGACTGTGCGTTGCCGAAGAAGTGAAAAAGAAAGGATAGTATGACCCCCAATCGCGGGGCCGCGCATTATATGATGGTTTTGGTGGTGCAGCAGCAGCTGCTGCTGCTAGGTGTGTTTTCCCTTACGCTGGTGTGTGTTCGACCTTGCGCCTCTTGCCTTTGGGCGCAGGGTTCATCTTGGGAGTAGGGTTGTAGGTGACTGTCCTTGTGACGACTTCGCGAATGTGCCTGACGCTCGTCCGCGTAGGCTTCCTCTTCTCGGCGAATCTCGCCTTGAGAGCGGCGTCCCAGTCAAAGACAGAGTGGACGGAGCGTGCGCTGAACGGTGACCTCGCCGTCATGGGGGTAGCGCTCATGGGAGAGTCAACGTGGGAAAAGGCTGGTGAGGGCGGTATTTTCAGGCTGGGGAAGGATGCATCGCCGTTTGGTGGTGCGGACATGGGCAGCCGTGTGAAAGGGCTGGGAGGGATAGCTGGCGCGCTGGCGGGAACCTTGTGTTGGTGTTCGCACTTGCACGAGCAATCGGTCGCCTCGCTCGTGGCGGTAGAGGGCAAAGACTCGGTTGTGGCCGTCTCCTCCTCAGAAGTATCTCTCTGAGCACCGGGTGAGGTGCCAGACATGGACTTGAGGAAATCCATGTACGCTGTGGGCGGACTGATAGGCGTCTTGGTGGGGAGGTCTACGCAGGACATGGGCCTGGCAGACATGGGCGTGGTGACGGAGAATACGGCTTCTGAGGGAAAGGTGCCGGTGACGGGCGTGGCCAGCTGCGGCAGCTTGGGTCTGGTGGTTGAAGGCATGATGGCGGGCGTCGTGATCGTGATGCGTTGACGTAGTGAGTGGCGTGGGCGTAAGAGTGAGTGAAGGTGGAAGGGTGGTACAGGACAGGGCAAGGCAGGACGCGAGGGGGGGTGAGGACAAGTCAAGCGAATGACTTGAGGAGAATGTCGAACTGCCTGCGGGCTGTGAAGATGAGATTCGCCTGTGAAGAGAGGGAAAGGGCAGAGGAAGGGAGTGCCGGCAGTTGGAGGTAGGAAAATGTGGAATATGTATTCCAACCAAGATGGGCGTCCGTCGGGTCAGGGTCGGTGTCGGCGGGCCTGGTGTAAGTGGGCGTGGAAGGGATGGGAGGGCTGCGGATGGGATGGCTAAGCTCTGGCGGCAAGCAGGTAGCTAGAGCACCCAAAGGCTTGGTCTGGTGTGTAAATAGTGACCGGCACTGTTCCGTTTGACGAGCAGGATGAAGCAGGGGTGGTGGGCACGAAACGAGCGGGAGAAGGGCGTTTCGAGGAGGATCAGAACAAGGTCCCAGGATCAGGGGCTGATGACGGGGGCACCAACGGGGGGGATGAGAAAGGTGACGGTGATGGTTGGCGACAGGAGTGGAGTGGGGTGGGCGTTTGATTCGAGGACAGTGGGCGCGTAGCCGTGCCGCTTTTGTCGTCGCTCGTTTTTGTGCTGCTGCGAGGCGAGTCGATGTGTTCGAGGTCGAGCCGACAGACACCAACGTGAAGTGACGGGGGCCGGTGATTCATATGCTTTCGTCCTGGGTGTGTGTGTGCCTTGACTGCTTCTGCTTCGACCCTCATCTCAGGCCTTTTCGGTCTGCTGCTTCACAGAGCGCGCGGCTTCTTCGTAGAGCGCGCGGCTTCGTAGGCGTATCGGTCTCTGTTACGGCCGAGCGAGGAAATGGTTGTCGTTTTGCGTCGTCAAGCGCTGAGGCTCATTCGTGAGCAGAGAGCCATGTCCTTTCCAATCGCATGCCATCGACAGAAGCCTGTCGAGAACGAGAGCGCGCGCCATCTGAAGGTGTGCAGCAGCCGGGGCCAGCGACCTCATGGCTATTGGCAGTGATGCACTGCAGCTCTCCCGCTCTCTGCTGTCACCCTGTTGCGACTCGATCGAGCTCCACATCCGCGCGCCTGTTGGGGAGGTCGGGGAAGGCCACGACGACGGCCACGACGACGGCCACCCGCAGCCCTCTTCCCTCTGGCTTCGACGTTGTTATCCAACGACAGCTTCTCGTCCATCTTTCCGATGGACGGGGCGCTGTGTCGTGGAAGCCCGCCGGTCGTCGAGATCTAGCGTTCGTGCCCTCCCTGGCTGCGACGACAACTGGCCCGGCGATCTGGAGCCGCCAAAAGTTCTTGATAAGCGCCGCCCAGAGCAGAACACACCGTTGTCAAGCAGTCCTTCATTCGCTGACCATCTCCCAAGTGCGATCCTTCGCGCGGTCGACTGCACGCCGCCATGCTCGTCTGGGGCTCAGCACAAACACACTGGCCCTTGCTCGCAGACGTCTTCTCTGTGTCAAGAACCTGACTGCGGCGGTCTCCTCCCTGCGCCTCAGGCAAGGCACGATGGCGGATTGCTTCCTTCGGAGGAAGTGATGCAGTATCTGTGCCAACAAGCGCCGGCCTCGATTTGATAGGGCAGACTGGCGAGTGCAGATGTGGAGGAGGCAGGCATGCGGTCCTGATCGAGGTCGGGGATGGCTTGGTCAACTCAGCAACATGGCTGTGTCTAGGATCTGATTCCTTTGGCGTTGGCGTTGGCAGTCCGGCATGGCGTCTGTTGTAGCTGCAAGCGCCAACAAGGCATTCGCTTGATGGATCAGGGTATGGGTGCGTTGAAGTCGGTTGACTTTGCATACGGTATGCCTCGCATCGCAGCGTCTGGCTTGTCGTTCTGACTCGGTGCATGGAAGCAGACTGCGTCGATAACCAGTCACTGGATACGTGTATGTGGCTACCATGACAGTCCACGAAAGACGCAAGCCCGAGGGGCGCTCGAATAAAGGCCACTAGCGGCACCATTGTGGTTTTTCCAAGGCAGGCATTACTGAGCTGAGAGAGAAAGAGTAGTGCCTGGGAAGGAGTGCTGTTGTCGCCGAGTATCAGGGGAGGCTCCTTCCTTCAATTTTGCTTTGCTATCAACCGAACACAGGGAGGCGGGATCAATGCATTATACCAGGTAGTCCAGCAGCCCACCAGCAGCATCGTCTCATCGCCTTTGATTCGTCCTGACGTTCTGCGGCGCCATGTGACGCTCAGGTGCTCACTGTCTACGAGTCACGACACAAGATCCGTGACCCCAGACCTCTTCGCTGTTGGTCCTCTTCCTAGGCCAAAGTCTGTGATATATCTCAACCGAGTCGCTGAAGCTCCTGGTGCCCAGAGTGCGTTGTGACTTCGCATACCATTGTGAACCGTGAAGCCAAACCAGACATTGGAGAAGTCCACATCTGGGAGTCAGTTTGATGACGAGGAAATTCCCCAGCCTGGTTCTGGTGCCTCTTTTTCATATATCAATGTTATTGGTAATTGTGTACCTCACCATCGCTCGAAGCATGGCTGTCACCTGTCTTGAGTATCACGCACCAGCACATAATGGTACGGCCTGTATTGACGTTGGGACGTGTTGTGGCCGCACCCCATGCGTGGCAGGCGATTCTGCGATATAGTGAGCGACGATTCGGGAGAAGATGGCTTACGACATCCAACCAAAAGGCAAATACACACTTGTATTACCACAGAGGAAACGCACGCATGAATGAAGCGTACAACCGAGCTAGATCAAGTAGGTTTATAGGACTAGGCATATGCCACGAGGCGGCCATCTCACCGGAGACGTCAACCCGAGCAACAGTTTCGACCACCCTCCAGAACCTTGGAACACACAGAGATACATCTTGATTCAAATCACAGGGAGCCCATCTACCGAAGGATACTGGGCTCTGTATACACGTGCATAGCCTTGCCTTTGGTAAATTCATATGCGGAAACTACAAAGACTGAAAGCCTGGAGTGATTTATCTTCGTCCTCCTCGCTCTGTGTAAACCCTTCGGGGGCCTCTGGGTAATAGATTTGACAGGCGCACCTTATCATCCGTCAAGGGCAATCAAGGCCCAAACAAAGCCGAGCCACGAGCAACCACGAGCCAGGTCATCGATCCTCGGCACGGCTTTCACCATGACCCGGCCCTCATTTTCCCGCAAAAGGTTTCATGCTGTCAAATTAAAGGGGGGAACAAAGCAAGGACGAACGGGCCAAATTCGACACGAAGCCACGGCTGTGGTCCGCCCATCTCCCCGAGGAAGAATGGGGAACCAGCAAAAGTAAGATATCCAACGTGACCGGACCTCGGAATGCCCGGCATCGCACTCCCGAGGCCAGGCATCGGAAACAGGGCACGAACAGGCTCATGGTCACTTGTCGTATTGCTTGATGCGCCAGACGCTCGCTCAGCGGCAAGCACAATCCAGACGAGGGCCGAAGACCAAGATGGCAAGAAGGAGACCCAGACGGCAAGAAGGAGACCCAAACACGGGAAGTTCTCATCACATACATCCATAATGATCATCACCAATCTAACTCGGCGCCAGCCGAAAACGATCATATCTGCTGATAGGCCCAGACGTTAGATCGGTCAGCTGTCAAACCTAGCCTCGTGGAGCCGCCAATCCCAAGTTTGATAGCACGCTACTTGGCTCTTCACGCCGCCGCAGATGGGCAAGGCATCGTGATTTGACACGAGCTTCCCGAGACATCACGTTGCGAAACCAGCCGTCATAGGCCAGACAACGGGCCCCCCTCCCTCCTACGCGCCAGGAACCGGGATAATAAGCTACAGAGCCTGCCCCCCCTTCCCACATGGGCGTTGCGTTAAAGGCACCTTTAAGGGACGAATGGCTCACGGGAAGCAATTGTGTGGCCCAGGCGCGCGCCCCAATGCCGGAGCTCGGGAGCACGCGAATAGGGCACGCGAATAGGGAAGGGCAATTGACCGGCGCTCGACGTTCATTTGCTCGTCTGTTCGGAGAGTTCTGGCAAACCAGAAGCTGGCAGAGGGCTGAATTGGCAAGCGAACCAGCCCCCGGGGGCGTGACGTGGGATACGACGATATTGTGGACCTACCCCGGACCTTCGAATCATGTACCCAACCAAGCCAGCATTGAGCCCAATAAACGAAGGGTTGAAATCGAGGCGCTGGCCCGGGATGAAGCGAGCGACACGAACGGGGTGGCGGGAAACGGCAAAAGCAACAACAAAAACAATAACAAGAGAGAGAGAGAGACACACACACTCGAAACGACGGGAGAATGGCCAAGGTCCGGAAGCTGGGCCCGAGTCCGCGGACGTGAGATTACTTCGGATGGGCTGACTGAACATGACGCGCTGTGAATAATGCGCCAGAAGTCGATCAGGAAGCCCGAAACCGGGCGTGCCAGGACCAAACACGTGAGCGCTGCCCTCGAGACCCTGGCGCAGGGTTTGGCGGTACAGGCAAAGAAGAGGGAGCTCCGCACCTGACGTAAGATTTTGCCGCAGCTCTCGGCTTACCGTGCTTCGGACGGAGGCACAGAAACCAAAGCAGCAAAGGATCTGACTTTTGGTGTTTCTCATTTCAGGCTTGGAGGGTGAGTAGTCAGTCAGTCAGTCAGGCTGGGAGTCGAGCAACGCGTCACGGGTAGATAGGCACGCAGGCAGGCAGGCTGGGTTGGGCGGCCTTGAACAATGCATAGTACACAGCTGCACGTCGGAGCTCTGTGTCTGCTGTAGGCACGAAAAGACGGCTTGGGATGAGCACACCGCCCTTTGGGGAGTGGGACGCAGAGGCAGGTCGAGAAGTAAGGCGGGACCGAGTTGGCAGTCGGTGACTCGGAGCAAGCAGCAAGAGGGAGACACCGCCTCGGCGGAGGCGAATGGGCGACAGGTCGGAATGCGGGCTAGCCTGGTTTGCGTCGTCTGTCCAGCGTCTGATCTGGCTGCGCAGTTGCTTGGTGCCTGATACTCTTGTCCATTTGGCGTGATTGTCGGTCAAGAACTGGAAATAGCGAGCTAGCCAGCCAGCCAGGCTGAGGGAGGGATATTTTGGGAGTCGAGAGAAGGCGAGAGGGTGAGAGAGAAAACAGACTAGAGATGGCGAAGTAAGAGAGCAAGCAGCACCTAGTCATGGACTCATGGGCAGGCAGTAGAGTACCACCACCAGTCGAGCCGGTGACACGACTTCAGCCCTGCGGTTACGCTCGAGCTGGCTTTCGTTGGGCTGGCGGGCTGGTGATGATGGCTGGTCATTGGGTACGACAGAAAAGAAGCTCCGACGACTGGCGGGCAGACGAGTTGAGTGAGCAGCGCACCACCAGGGGGGGGGGGGAGAGGGGAGGGAGCAGAGGGCGCCGGCACGAGTGGGGGCAGGAGAAAGGGACTGGACTGAATGAGTGAGGGAAGCGACGAGTGGTGGCTGGGAGGAGTGGAGACAGTATGTGGATCCCGGATGGAGCCATAGTGGAGTCAGCGTCATGGTGCACTGGCCCATTGGCGCACAGGGCAAGAGACAGGCAGGCAGGCTCCAGGCTCTTTCTCTGGCTCGGGCTCCCACAAACTTCTTCCAAGGCCCCCGCCAGCTTCTGGTCAAATCACCTTCTCCTCCTTCTCTCACCCATACTTATTGGCCAACCATCGACGAAGAAGTCATCCAGCGAAGCAAAGCGCAGCAATTCGCTGTACTCACGTCCTCGCTTCACCATTTGAACCTCATCATTGGTGGCCCCAGCACGACGCCAACAGCACCTTACCCTTTCCCTCGACCTTTGTCTGTGTTTGGTTCGACCCGACCGACAAGAAAAAGATAGAGACAGAGCAAGGCCCTG